CATGTCAGCACGCACTATGGACAAGAGGGGAAAACAATGAGTGTTTCAATCTTTCGTAATATTGGAAATGTTCGGAAAATGAAATGGAAGGTTGTACCTGACCGAAGTGAAGTGGGGTGAATATGTTTCCACAATAACCATGCATCATACATATGTTCCTGCCAACCCACCAAGTTTCAATCCTAAATCCCCCCTACTCGCCATCATGTTATCACTACGCTTGTGAGCATAAAAAATTATGGAGAAGCAGAACGAACAGTCTTTTCGATAAACTTTTCATCGACATGGAACCATCATCTTCACAAAATGAAAAGCCAGTCTGACTTGGTAATCATTCGCCGGCCGTCTCACCTTTTATGTTTACCAATTCAATTTCACCATCGAAAATCTCCCCTCTCCGCGAGGTAGTCAAGTCATCACACACACAACGCATTCAATTTATTGTGTTGGCGTATCGAATATTTCCCCAATATTGTATTATAACAAGCCGACAAATATGGGGAACGAATCCAATTTTAGATTTTTCTTTGCATCCATTATTTCAAACTTACCCTTCGCCTTTCGTCACGTGTATGTGGCATTTTAAACAAATATACAAACTATATAAACAACTTGGGGTTGGAAATATGTGGGGGTGCACACGCTTTTTTTTCTTTGTGGGTGGTGAGCTCTGGCTCATTGCATGCAATCGTGTCGATGTAAGCAGTTGTCAAAGTCAATGACATGCCTCCTACCTTCAATAAAACTACTCCAATGTGGTATATGTTTCGTTGTCTGTCGAGGAATTGGGTGACAGCGGATATGACATGAACTGCATTTGCCCATTAAGTTATTGGAATAATATGCTCTTTTCACGAGGGGATATTTTACTGGGAGCCTGATAAGGGGTGAATACACAGATATTGGTAAATGTCTCGTCGGTCAGAGGAAAATTTGGGGTGAAAGCTGGTAGGAAATAATGCCGGATCTGAAGTTGAGGTGACAGAAGATAGCTCAGGTTGTTCAAAATTGAACTTTCTTGGCAATTGTTAAGTAACATTAATAAGATTGGAGGAAATCAGACGAAACCGGAAAACAGTGAAATGGGCGATGTGCATCTTGTCGTCAAGATAAAGATCCACATCAATATCAAATAATGCACTTCTTGCACCAACTGCTGGATCTTGTCTTCTCAGACCACCATCACATTTACGACTCTTACAACTTGAAGGGAACAGATGTGAAAGCATTTCGTGATCTTGTTGGGATTGGACTGTTATTGACTTCTTCTTGGTACCCCACAAGAATATTGGAAAGCCACAGCGCCACAATGCACAGCGTGGTTACAGATAATTTATAACTTATTGTATCTAACCAGTCAACGAATATTACCAATTTGAGAGAACAATCTTGTCGGAAAATTCACATTCGTTTTCAGGATCATGGTCTTTTGATGGTTTGGCATTAAAGTGTTACGCAATTTGTAAAGGGTACTTGCAAAAATTATTAAGCAGTTTATTGATACACATTCGCGAATAATACAAATAGTACGAATGCAAATAATAAAGTAAATACCTGACTATGATAAATAATAAAATATAAGATTTTTAAGACAAATTATGAAAAGAGAAAATTGGAATAACAAAGAAAATGTCATGGGCTCACTTGTAAGCAATTTCACTTATAAGAAGAATGGACAGTAATAATGCTAAGAAAGGGAGAAATTCCACTGTAAGAAATTCCTCAAGTTGGCATTGGTGGGTAGCCCATAATTTTTCCTCGTACGGCTAATAAAACGTAAATTTGGTTTGCCCGTTGACTTTTCATCTTTTGTTATTGTTGTGAGGGTGGCGGCAGTGACCATCCATGAAGTCACGAGCCAAGTTTTCCACCCCAACAATAACATAATGCGGTGTGATACCATGACCATTCATCCCGCGGTAATATCAGACCATGCACTTGAGCTGGCTTAGAGCACAATTTTCCAAGACAACGACTTAGCCTTCCCAGCTCGTTCCAAGAAATGTGAAGGAAGTGAAAGTCTTGCACCAGTGGAAGAAAAATGCATCGCAGCGGCTATGACAACATATGCTGTTCCTTGAGAGATAATGGGAAATTGCTAAAAGCCCTTCCATGCCAGAACAACACTTTTCCGCTCTGTCATTTCCTAACATCAACATCTCGGTTTTTTATGAGTTCGCATTATGCTGTTGGCAACAAGGTGCATAAGATCACCTCAACAGTTTATGCCAGGCTGAATCTGTAGTATGCAATAGTTTTTTTGTACGGACACATTACTATCAAATTATTTTGTTGTTGTAATTTTATTAAACAGATAATAGCTTAATAATATAATGAATACCTAACTCATTACACTTTTGAGTTGTGCATGTAGTTATGTAAATACTTGTCTCATGCTAAGCATCTGACTATCTGAAATACGCATCTGCAACTCTGCAATGCTTCAAAATAAACGAGTCCAAGTAGACAATCTAATAAATTTGCTCATTTCGGAAAGTGTTGAACCGCCCACTTTAAGTTACGCAACAAATGTATTTATGTATATTGCGAAACGTATATACTTACATAGACGCAGTTCAAAGTTAAAGGGTAAACTAGTATAAAGCAGTTGTCCAATTCTCCAATCTTTCGTAAGTATTTATATAAATCCTATAAATAAATACCATAAATTAACACTAGTCGTTCCCCGTGGAGTTTAAACTAACAGTGTGGCCCTGGCATTTAAGGAAAGTTCCACGTGTAAAATTTTCTAATTATTCCAATTAAATGGATGCCTTTGTATTCACCTCGCTATGCGAATGTATGCATGTACTTATGTAGGTGGACATGGTCGTATCCTATGTAAATTACCGCCTACATACACATACTTACGTGTAATATGCAATCTTCATGTATTTAAGTATGTAACGAAATCGAAATCCAGCAATAAAATCCATGCACTTATAGTATGCATGTTGACTAAATATTACATAAAATAAGGTCCCTGCACAAGAAAAGTCCGATTATAATTATCACGTGCAATTCAGACCTTCCGAAGTTCTGATTCCATTACAAGAACGTTGAGTTCGACCACGACCGTGTCAACCAAAACTTGCTTCTCAATTTATCTCTATAACCAAGCAAGAGAATTTCGGCATTTCAAATGATGAAGAATGGTTCGGTCTCTCTCTTTCTCTCGTCTTTATCTCTGACGACAGTCCTTAGTTTTGTTCATTCTTTTCCATCATGGGCTCTACTTTTGCAACATCAGCAGTGCGTATATACCTATTTGTATGCCTGCTATACGTATGTACGAGCTTCCTTCCACAAGGCCTTGACTGACTGCCAAACTGGAAGAGTAAACTCGGCTTCAAAGCTGTTGTCAAAACCTCGTTAAGTGAAATGAATGGTTAAAATAGGATTATGAATTAGTCACAGGATGCGATGGTGGATTGCTAGCACGTTTATTGCTGCATAAGATTAATCATTATAAAACGAAGAGGAGGAGGAGGACCAGGATGACGACGACGACGATGGGGAGCAAGTTATAGTGAGTGAGTAGCAAAGTCGCGTCGACACAAAACCAAACCACACGAGACGAGAGAGAGGAAGGAAGGGAGCAGCAACGAAAGGTGGTCGTGGTGACTGGTGGAGAAAGTCGCTGCATAATTATGAACATTGGTCTGCTGCAGCTTTTAACTGCTAAATGCTACCCTCTTATTCGGCTGTGGTGGGTGGGTGGGTGATTACTTTGTGATGTGATGAACTCAGCAAAAAATATTAGGGAATAATTTTTTGTGCTCTGCTTGTCCTCATGGTTAACCAACACGAAACAATGGGTTTTGGGTGTTATATTGGTTGATGACATGACGTGTGGTTGGTGAACTTTTAACTTCCCCTAAATTAATTTAATTAATTGGCTGCATTGTATTAGGCAGTCTTCCATAATGTCAAATTCTAGCCATTTGCGTCTATTTTGTCATGCAATTCGTAAACAAATACGAACTCGTGATATATTTATGTTATGAAAAGCACCCACTGTCATCTAGCCCGAGCTATGGTAGATATATATTTACAATAAGTGTTTAAACTACCTAAGTTGGTCGTTTGACAGAGTTTAATATAGACCAAATTTCCACTCGATCGTACAACTCTCATAAATATGATAGATATAAATATGTAGTGCAGACAGACAGACATTTATATATACATGCTGGCTACGTAAGCCTTGCGCGAGTCACGAATTGAAGTATTGTATGACGTGAGAAATTTTTGCTGGCTGTTTGTGCATGATTTGAAGTACTAAGGGGCACCTTCAGTGGTGCGTAATAAGTCAAAATGACGCGTCTAACAACCATTTGCCACCATTATCAATAAGCTAATCTCATTACTTTGAGACCTGGTGCGATTCATTTGATTTTACGAGTATTTGGAATGCTAAACATTCCTTCATTGCCAAACATGGCAGAGCTTATATTAAAATTTCTCTACTGGAATAATAAAAAATGCTCGATTAGTAGTCAGGTTTACGAGTTGCAGACAAATTGACTGTGCTAAGTTGAACCTTGTTCTTATCTTTCCCAAGATCCAATTTACTTAAAACTTGTAATTAAATTATACTGCCGATGGATTGAGAAGTTTTCTAACCAACATTTCGGTTCTGTGGTAGCAAAAAGGATTTTGTCGTTCAAGTTTAAAAAAAATCACTGACTCTGCCAACCAACAGCCCACCTCTTTGAGTTCACCACCATTCCTCATAGATCTGAGCTAACTAAACTTTTAAGGATTTACGTCATTAGAGGTGATGTTATCTGATCCCGTGGAGATTTATGACGCTTTCACGCCAGACCTACAAAAGTTGTTACCATATTTTCCAACTGCACTCAAAACTTCTTATATTTTCAGACATGTTTGTAGGGTTGAAGTAGTTTCATGCAGGTCAAGATTGTTACAAACTCATCGTCATCATTGTATTGCTGATTTAGCTCTGAAATAATTCATGATGTTTATTCTAATTACAGTGCCACCTCAAACTCCTGCAATCTTTGATGGGACGGCAAGGGAGCTGACTGGCATTGCGGGGCCGTACAAAGAGGGAGACCCGATGACACTCACATGCATCGCATCCGGAGGTAATCTCATACGCCTCGAATTTGCATAAATGTTACAATTGCAATGATACATATATTTTTTGTAGTCGCCAAAACCATTTTGCTCTGCTACATTGTAGTAAATGAAAATATTTACTCTGCGAATGTTTACTTTCTGGCGTATAATAGGGTTTTGTCTAAAGTCAAATTTTAGTCAAGTGAACGCCTCCGGGCAGAAAGAGAGAGAGCTTACCTAAAGTGTATCGTGTTATCAAGAACCAAGTGCTTTTCCTATCTCGGTGGTTGACGCCAACACTTTAAATCTGCAACGTGCGAGAGAAAGGAAAGACAGAGAAAGCAGCCAATGGAATCTACTTGGTGCTCCACATAGACAGGCCAGCCTCACATGAAGTCAAATTTAACCGGGTCAAATTTATTTGATGCCGTACTAGGAACAAGCAAGGGCGGGACTGGGTGGCAGTGTAAAATTGATCGCATCGTGTAGGAAGTGCTGGTTAAAATTGCTCAACATATGCAGACAATCCCGAGAGTGAAAGTAAATCATGAGGGAAGTGCAGAAGGGGTTGAGTGGAATTTGGTTGTGCAATTTTCCTCTTCTTTCAGCAACCAGCTCATTCACGGTACAGAAGAAAGGTCGCGTTTCGCAACCATATTTCCAAGCGCTTTTGGATAAAGATCTAGGAATTTTATATCAAAATTCAAGCTTTCTATTGAAATCTATGTACATATGTAGGTAGTCATAAATACGTACAGCATTAGGTTATATGTAAGTAGTACTAGATTACAATTTCCAAGTGCGAGTGTTTCGTTGTAACTGTTGTATGAACCGTATTGCTTGGACGCTAAAAAATTAACGCTAAATACTGACCTCTAAGAATTTATGTATTCATTCCGATGCTAATTTTTTTATTCAATGTTGCGCAACCCCACATTTAGGAGAAATTATTTTGATCCTGCCGACCGCGAGTGTATAGAAATATTTAATGGTCAGGCCCTCCTTCCACCGCTGATAATGTAGGGAATATTTAATACGGATAGAAAGTTGGCGTTTGGATTCATTTGTGAGAGATACGCGTGAGATATTATCACGGTTGTTCGTGCCGAGTAATAGTTATGTGATGTTCTAATAATCATAAAACGTGTTTGAGACCCTTCCCGTTCACCTAGAGACTCAACACGCATTGTAAAGTGTTTCTGCCTACTTTGAGAGAAAATGGGAGTTGAAAAGTAGAAAGTGTAACCCAAGCAGCAAGCAAGTAGGCGAGAAAGTACATCTACGACGTGAAAGTGAATAAGGTTTTTGGTATCCGTATTTCCCAGCTAAAGTGTTTTCATGAGATTCATTCTGAGAATTTTTTCTCCAACCGCAATGGTTTATTGTTATCGCTTTTCTGTTTTATGCTGGCCAACCTGTGCTGCTGGTCCCACATATATGCGTAGAGGACCACCTCATTTTTCAAGGAAAGCAGATGCTATGTGCAATTCCAAATCCGCATATATGTAGTCGTACAAATATAGGCATTGTAAAACGGTAAACAAAAAATGCACCACTAAATCCGTTCCATTAACCCATAAAAAATGATAAAACTGCAATAATGGTATAGTAATAGATTCAAAATCCATGTTTAAGTATTTCCCAGTTATTAAACTATTGGTGAACCGATATCAAGATAAATTAGCCTTCAAAGTGGATACAACAATCAATTAAGCCTGAATATGAATACGTCCAAGGGAATTAATCATTTTCCGGAATCTTTTGTCCGATTTTCCATACATCACATGTCCTATTTATTACATGTTCATAGTACAGCGTAGCAACATTTAATAATTCTAATCCTATTCATATTGTGTGGCACAATGGATGGGAGAAAGTTCAATCCCCAAAGAATTTGCTTCCCCCTGGCTCAGATTCCTTCAGAAGTCATCCACCATGCAACCAACGGGGTTAGTCCCCAGTTTAGCAAGGGATCAAGTAAAGTGGTGTGGCATTGAATTGAAGCAATATAGTTCGCCGTTTAAGTTATTGTGATCTGTGGGAAGAGGTTATTTGTTCAGCGGATTACGTAGTTTCCATCTACAAGGCAAAGCAGAGAGAAAGCATAAGCCGACATTACAATACTTCACTGCTGGCCTCGTAATAACACAAGTTCTCGGCTGTGGAGGCGCATAATGGAGGAGATGAATTCGGGGTGAACAAAGGCTCCCACCTCCACAACGCTGTCCAATTGACACTTGATTAGATTTAGTGAAATATTTATGGGGATATTTAATTGCTCTCCCTGCATTGAGTTCACATTCTTCCCATCTTTCTCTCTCGCTCGCCTTTGTATTTCTCCTCCGAGAGCAAAACTACAAACAAATAGGTGACTTATACTGTTTGCTTGATTCGAGTCAAAAGCAGTTTGGCTGAAGCCCCTGCCAGCCAACGACCACTACGAGCACTCAAGAATTCGGGCGGTTTAGAGCTCCAAGGAGAAAGTGAAGCAGACAATGGATTCAGATTCCGGAATTTCTTCTAATGTTTACGAGTGTTGAGAACTGAACTGAACATTTTGCATCTTAAATTTTGTCCCTTTCTTGTTACGTGCGTACATACTTATATAAGTGCATACTTGGCTCTCTCAATCCGCGGACCTCGCGTTATTATTTGGCATAGTTGCAATTCTTGAAGAGGAACGCATATTTTTCGCCAATTATGCTCACAATGCGACAAGACAAAAATCGTACCATGTATGAACATACCTATTTTCGTGTTGTAATACAAATGGGTGAATATGTTAGCTGTTTATTGATCATTAGGTTAAACTAATAAATACATACGGTCTCATTTATTATCAATAGATCGTCGATAGAAGTAGTAGATCGCTGATTCACCAATTACAAAAGGAAATACCTCGAAACACTGACTGCGAAGGAGTCACACATTTAAAATTCTAACCTTCCCATTTTCCTTATGTTGCCATATATTTGACCTATTTGTTTGCTGCAACCGGACTATGCATTGTTAGCATTCCTAGTTTTATTGCTAAAGTAAATGCAATCTTTGTCCAGTAACGTTGCTCACCAGGTTCAATGTAGAAAGTGGAACATCTTGCATTTTATTTTATTAGCCCATCACAGTTGTCACCACTTTAGTATTAGTAATTTCATGAATAATAATACAATCAATCAGCTTGATTAAATAGATTGGCGTCGTCTTCTGTCTTGTCATTCATTCTTCGCTTGTTCTCTGCTTCTTTCATTAATATTCATGTGATGGTCCGCGTTCCATCACTAACTGGGTTCTGCCTCCAGAACCCATGGCAGAAACGATGGCGTTGTCCCTGCTCAGCTGCGAGCAGCCAAGTTTCTAACGAGCTTTCATAGTTCCAATTTTAAAGCAAAACGACGCTTTATCAAAATGTAAAATTGTACACTGTCCCAAATTGTGTGCTACATATACTCGGAACATGGAACATGGGAGGTTGTCCTATTTGGCTGTCATCTATATGGACTTTATGGGGTTGAGATTTGACTGAGGGCTGCTTTGACATAATATGGGCTGTCGACATCCCAACTTACCCACAGCCGGCAACAGCATTAATATGTGTGTGAGCCATGCATTGAATTCCGCATTATTTGTCTGTATCGCACCGGTCAGTCCTGTAAAAGATTGATGAGGGAATTATTCATTAAGCTTTTCATTGCTGAGGAGAGAGAGGGAACGAGAGAGTCGAGGTTTTGATAATTTATTGCCTTTCCCAACACAGGAATAACGAATCACTTTAAATCTGCCTGATGCTCATTGAATATTTATGTTCCGTGTTTCATAGGTCGACCACCACCAAAGGTTACCTGGTGGCGAGGAGGATCCCTAATCGATTCTTCGGATAAAGTGGTACGTAACATATTACTTCATATGTCGGTCAGTAATTTCATGCATTTATAATAAGAAACATTATGACGACCCGATTTTGGTCTACGTTGTATGTTATCAAGCTTTAAATTTCAAGATATTTTGAATCACAATGACGTAAGTTTCGTGCATTGAATGCTTTCTCTTTTTATAGATTTCTTCTGACGGAGCAACACAAAACACAATGACGGTGGACAAACTCTCGAGGTCAGACTTACGCGCAATTTTCACTTGCCAAGCCAGCAACAACAACATGAGCGAACCAGTCTCGGCGTCAGTTCAGGTGGAAATGTATTGTAAGTCATTTCAAATTCAAGTTATTACGAAATTTGGGAGAAGTGTTCATTCCCTCAGTTTTAATGTCTCCGTAAATATTTGAAGCTAAGAAATTGAGTAAGATTGATCTGGTCCTATTTTACCAATGTACCCGCTATCTAACGAAGTACAGTCTGTACATATATTTCGTTCGTGTATATACCACGGGAACTATAATGAGAGAATGTATGTATAGGAATGAGTTGCTTCATTCATCCTCCTCCATCATTCCATCATCCACTCAATTTCTACAGTTTCCCTTGTTCCTGCCCTGCTGATAGTGAGCAGAAGGAGCTGTTAGACGTTCAATTAAGTCAAAATCAGACTGCCTTGACTTGGCAGACGAGCAAAGTCAACCAGACTCCAGACTGTATGAATAATCAGTTTAGATAGTAATAAAGTTATAATGGTTCCGAATAGTCTTTTGGTTTGCTGAGCTTTCTCCTTCCGTTTATAAATTATTCACTCGAAGCAAAACCCAAACCTTACCGCAGCAGACTGATTGCGACTGTACCACGACTACTTCTACTACCGCTCCCATTCCGCCAGATCCGACTTTAATTCTGCATTTTCAAATCCATCCATAAACCAGGAAGGAGGAACAGAATAGTAGGCTTCGTACTTCCAGGACTATGCATTCGACGTATATACATTTACTTGCACCACCGTATTTTGTAATAGGAACAGAATTAAAGCCTGTCGAACAAACCATTCTCTCCAATTTCAAGGGAAGCAGCCACAAGAAAGTGAAGCTGTTAGGAGAACATAATAAAGTACTGGTTTAGGCCTCTGGCATAGCAGTTCAAAGTTTATTAAACCGTTGTATATTAAACTATTGTGTAAGTTGACACCTGATTAGTTGCAGTAATGTACAAAGTTGATGAACATACAGAGCGCACACAAAGGTACAAGTTCTTGCAGTATGAATAAGGTCGTCTTCTTTTCAGCGCAAGTAAAGAGGACGAACTGTACGGGATGCGGAAGACGGGTATTCATATTTCCACTACAACGTTCTTTACGCCGCCACGTGTTGTGAAACTTGCAAAGAAGATAACGTTGGCCTGAAAGGGGAATAATGCAGCAGAGAAATATCACAGCCAAAAATCTGGCACATTTGTGTATACACACATTTCCACACGCACTGCATGAATAAGCAGATGATACGACAAGTGGGAGTTTTCTCTCCTTTGCAGATTGACGGAAGGAAGGGAGATGAACAACATTTATGAAATATTGCTTTGGCATTGCCACATTATACGAGAATTTTCCCACTCTTTACGTTTTCATTGTCCAACGAATCATTAATTTGAAGCGAAGACGCCTATCATTGAAAGACACATTTGTCTTGTCCTTCTTCCTCCATCCTTCGTCTCCCTTTATCGTCTATTCTTCTGCAAGAATGCCATTCAAGTCAGAGAGGTAACCAGTGGGTTACTAAAATTTAAATTGATTCCTCAACAAGGACTGACTGAATCCAGCTACCAACCAACACGACCAACCGACACTTGAGTTGAGACACGAAAGTAAACTGTCTCTGAGAGGCAATGGCAATTGCAAATCAAATTGGAATGAAGCAAATCTTACACTTGAGTTTCTAGAGTTGGTTGACAGTCTGTGTAGCAAGAGTAGCGTTTGGCTCGGGGACTAGCTTAGCGTCTTGATTTTGTTTGGCAATGTAGTCAGTCACCGTCGCCGCGCCGGAGTCGTTCTTATTATCTTATTCACGAGTAAGTCAAATCGTCAAGGGTTTTTCATCCTTCATTATCTTAGATTTAACTCCAGATTGCAGTGTCTCAATGATGTGCTATGCCGTGGATGGTGCAGATGGTTGCGGCAGTTGTCACAACGCCGCTTCATTAGTTGACTTGAGTTGCTTGGCTATAATGCAGGGAAGAAGGTGAAGTATGAAGGAATAAGAAGGACATGACGATGGCTGTGGTCTTGGCTTGACAACCGCCTGTTTTGTCGTCAATAAAGCATTCGCATTTCGAAAGAAGACAGTTCCATGAATAGATTTTGAAAGGGGAGTAAACGGATTGACGGTTAAAAGGATCGTCAAAGTGAAATGAATCAGTTATAATGAAGTGAAAAGAAAGGCCGTGAATATTCTTCTGCTGCTGCCATATTTATGTTGGAATCGAATATATTATCACTTACTTATTTGCCATCATTTATTTGCATGGCATAACAAACCGTATATTGTTTGAATATTTTTGACAAATTATTTTGGAGCCTCCTCCTTCTCCGCTGTTTATTCTCGTATCACCAACTCACATATTTGTTCACGCACAAAAAACCTCGCAAAATATACTTTTAGATTTTGCAATGTCAGCTTACGCTATATATCTCATGGAAACTATGTGGAAGTAAAAGTTCAAAATGACACCGATCAAGACTTTTATGGACTTCATTTCCAGCAAGGGTTCCATTCTACCGATAGAATTGGTTTGGCTGCTCATGTGATAGCGTCAATGTAGTTATACGACTTTGCAACACTTTCAAGTGCGAATGCAATGCAATGAGACCGACCCACACACACGCGGAGACGAGGGCACGAGACTTAAGATAATATCCTCATTTACTGTAATAGCAATGAAATAGAAATGGGTAATGGCGAATGGTAATGTCACACTGATCACAAATAAGTCCTGGACCAAACCAACGAGGTGAGATGTGCAACTTTTTTGTAGGACTACTGCAAGTAATGACATTTAGAATAATGGAAAAAGTCAACTTGTGCTCGTGCAAACTTTGGTGTGGAATGAGCTTCCCATTTCACCTATTGCACAAATGACAGTGGTGGGAAGAGAAAATGTTTTCACATATCAATTCCCCGACACCAGCAGCAGCAGAGAGTCAGGGAACTTGAAACTCGATGAACAAGGATTTTATTACGTGTACGAAACTTAAAACAGAGCCCCAGATGAATGTATCCACAAGGAGAAAAACAACAGTTTTGTCAGTGTTACGAAAACTTTGGAAAAATCATTAATAAATTAACCAACTCGTTGTGTACTTGTTTGTACAGCAAAGTTTATAGGGACTCATTGAGCAAAGACTTTGCAAAAGTTATTTATACAACACGGAGATATCTACGTATACAAATGCGTGAAGAAGATAGCAATTGTGTTTGTCTGCTGGCCTGCATTTGTTTATTAAATTAGTAATGAGTCGTTACTAATGAATGACAATTAGGTCAAACATTGATTGTACCAGAAACTTTGCCCATTGTACACTATCATAAACTCGGGTTATGCAATCGTGAATGCATAACATCTAAAAGTCTTTAGTGCACCTTCCAAATCTGAATTGGTCTAAAAAGGAGACGTCTGAGAAAGGACGGGACGAGATGAGCTTCGGAGGGGATACGTTAGCAAGTAAATACGAAGTAAGCTTTACTGTGGGTCGGGTGGTGGTGGAAGGAACGAAGAAGACGCAAATTTCTCGTAGGTTGATTGTTATTGCGTTCTTCCGCTCTCATGGCTGCACGGTGGAAAAAGACAAAGATGTTTCCAATTTGTGAATTTGGCAATATTTGCGTATCTATAATGCTCAACGAGCCGTGCATCCACCTTCTCATCTTCTTCTTCCTCTCCTGTTTGTGGTTTCTTCGCTTGGAGCAACTTTCTCTTCTTGCGGAATGAGGTTAGAGCATAGCCAAAGTCCCGAGTTCTTGTGCACTCCTCTACAAAAATAGCGCAGATTGAATTCACGGGGTCGGTCCTTACGCCTTCTCTCCCTCGCTCCGTCCGTACTCTTTGTATTGTTGATTTGAAATTTCGACCTGTGCAGAGGTGAATTGGATGAACCTCGTCGACTTTCTCTGCCATGTTCTCTCTCCTGCTCGGCTCTTGTTCTGTATAATATTTGTTTTCGGTTTCCCCCGCCCTTCCATTGTTTTCCTTGTTTCTTCTTTCATCCTCAAAGGGTCGGGGCAAGTGTGTCTTTTATTTTATTAGAATTGGTTGGAGAAAGTTTTTTGTTTAGTTAAGGAGACCAGGCAGAACCACAGCTGTCCCGACTCTTGTATTTTTATTTTATGAGGAGTGAGCAAGCAAACGAAAATCTGTGGAGCGTTCTTCTCGCCATCGTCGTCGCCCCCGTACTTTGCTCCTGAACAGACTGACTGGTGGTTTGTTTGGCTTGGGTGAAAGTGGGTGGTGTCCTCTTTGGCAAGTTCAATTCGGCCATGGTAAATTTCTTACGCTGTATGTACATACTTAGCTCCATGACGGCTGTTACTGTTCCTCACACTCTCCACCACTTGCTGTTAGTCACTTTGTTACGTCGGAGTACAGATAAATTTTGATATTTGATATTTAGCATGATTTATTTAATCCAAAAAAGAGTTTTAAAAACACATAATTTTCATTATAAACTTGTCAGACCCCATTGCACATGGGAAATTACCTGATCAAGCCAGGAATAAATGTTACTCAACTAGTAGTATTTACAATTATGTTCACATGAAAAATGCATAGTGTGAAAAGGGCGTGGTTTTATTTCTCCAAAAATTTCATGAATATTACATCTTTTTAAAACTGAAAGGGAGACATTTTTCATCATACTTATGGAAAAGTTTGTTTATTATACAATCGCCGCCATCAGCTTGTTTTTTACCATGAGGTTTAATTTGGCTCATCCTCGTCAAAATCATCTCCTTACATAACCTTATATTCGTGTTTGATGAAACAGCAGGCGACGCAATATGGAAAGATTAGATGAAATTCAACGAAGGAATATTATTACAGATAATCATGATTTATTTCTCGTTTCCAGACTGAATTCCAGAATCTCTCCAGAGTTTTGGGGAAAGTTTTGCTGGTGAAAGAATGTCTACTACTGCTTCTACTGGTTGTTTGATACTCAATGGTTGGGGTGGACGGATGTGATGGAATGCGAATGAACCAAATTATCTGGACCCAGAATGATGTTGTGTGAATTCCTGACTTGTACAACGATTGAACGTTATATGTCGTTACGTCCCATTTATGTACAAACTATCATAGTCTCACTTTATGATTTCCCCGTTTTCCATAAGGTTCTGCTATTTTGTGGTGCACATCAGTGAGCCGGCTTCACAAAATATGGTTTAAATTGACGCAATGAAAGTGAAATACGCGTAGTGGGGAGGCTTTTGCTTGGGTTATTAGTAAATCCTCCTTGGATTTATTCATTTTCAGTGCTTAGTCTTTACATTGATAGCACGCTTTATGCGAACATAATTTAAATTGATTGTGAACTTTGGAAGTATAATGCACCGTTATGAGCGAGTGTAATGTAATATACACACATGTGCGATAGAATTTTGTGGTGTGTGCAGTTATAAATTCCGCCCATAAAATACTATTTCAATGTTGTTTAGCCCATGCTCAGCGACTTCAGCGGGGTCATAGAGTCTGATGGTGCAATGCCGTTTAGTTATGGTTGTTACTTTTGAGGGATGGTTGTCGGGCGTCTTCTTTAGCTGGTCTTTGCCCAATTATACTAATCTAATTGTCTTTCCAGCTAATATTATTCCATACGTGTTTGGTCGTTATGTGCGCTCCCAATTACGCCAACTTCACTTGGACTTTGTTATAGCTACCGCTTTTCCCACCGCACAGGAACCAGCATGAAAAAGATTAGAGGAACGAAGCCACGGGATGCAAGAATTCCGTTTCGGTTTGGTTTGGTGTGGGATGGGAGGATTAACGGGAAACGAGAATTTAAGGTGGTTAGAAAAATCTCATTAGTAATGGAGGAATGTGCATCTTGGAGGGCTTAAAAGCTTGAATCTATTTGGACTGGGTGGAGAAACTAGTTTCTAAATTCTAAAAAGAGTCATTTCCTTAACTCTCTCTCCCTCTTTCTCTCGCCCCTGTGTTACGTAGGCCGTGTTTGGACTGGGAGGATGGACTGACAGAGACGACGGTGAGATAGGACAGAGAATGATGAGGAGTATAATCGTTATCTGAGAGTCTCCAAGCAGCATTTCTAAAATTGAGCAAATCAGTTGGTCCTGAGTCTCGCTTTCTCCCTATTACTCGTACATGCGGAGGAGGAGAAAGTTCATGTGGATACCTTGCCTTGCAAGTTGCACATTTCTTGGTCATGGTGCTTCTTGTTCTATCCAAACTCATTCTAATCGTGAGAAGATGGAACGATATCACCCAAGTAAATAGGCGTTTTCTCAATTCCTACATTTAGTCTCAAAGTCACGTTTAACGTAGTGGCCAAAATGTGTTATCGCTTCCATACTAAGAGTAAGATGCCTCCACATCCAGAATCAGGTTGCGTAATTTCCCTCTTTTTCTTCACCCAAAGTAGCGACATTCTACAAGTTTAACAACTTATATCAGTGACCAGCCAGCAACTCAATAAGCCAAATTTAGTTTAGAATTTCATGTGAACGATATCTGGGGATCAGAAAAAGCCCGATCCCACCACTCTAAGTGGAAAGTGGACCACCGAGAATCATTTCATAACGCCGGATACTCATTTCTTCTCCACTGCATACTTTCAGTTCAAACTTATTGTTTATTAGTAAAAATTATTTGACTCTATTTCCCATGCACTTGTCCTCGTACTTAATTTTGTTAAAATTCAACTGGTAATCTATCCCGCTCACCTGAATCATTTAAAGTGAATGTTTCCTTTATTCATTATTTATCGAATCGTGAAACATCCCGATATGTATTTAATATACGCTCTGAAACTCGGCCGAGAATATTTATAGAATAAAACAGTAAACGATACGTGCTTTAATGTTGGCATTCGCTTATTCAGTTCTTGACGTATACGAAATGTCATAGTTCTTCAGGATATTCTCGTGTGCATAAATATTTTTAGAATTTTTTGGGTTGATTGGTTGAGTTGAAAGACTACTCTGTTCTTTGTAGTGATTTAGTCCAGGAAACGTGGGCGCCTTTATTAGAGTCACCGACATTCACTTATGACACATGCCGGTGTGTGTATACATGCTATTATATAAAGTTGTGGAAATTCCCTTCATTTGGTCCGGTCGGGTAGACAAAGAAAGCCCATCTCATTTCATCCTGGAAACTCATCGTCCACAATCAACTCAGGTCATTTTCCGCTTCCTTCCTTCATTTAATATTGCTGCCATCTCATCCTGCAAAGTTGATACACGAGTTGAGAAAACTTGTGTGACACAAGAAACTTGAGACAAAACCGAGGAAACTGAAGCCAACGGGACGAGGAGAAAGCCCACTCTCTCTCTCTCTCTGCCTCCACCCTCATGTGGCGTATGTAGCACAGGCGAACACATCTCGATTGACCAAGGAAAAACGAAGTTAAGCAGACAACTTGAATTTCATCTCATCGTTTCTCTGTGGGATTAAAAGTCTTTTTGACCATCTCATTCTTCATTGGTCAACCAAAAAGTAAAGTTAAGTCTGCCTACTCAATCTAAATCCAGGCCAGAGAATCCAGAGACAAAGAAAAAGTGACTCTAGTCAGGTTTTCACATTATTACTCGAGACTAAACTACCAACGAAACCAAACTCTTCTTCCTCTCCTTCACGGCAGAGTAACGACTTGTGACGTATACGCTCATTTCTTCGCTGCAATGTTGTTGACTATACCATTTCCGTATGATACACTTCATCCTGCCTGACCACAGCAATCCAATTTACGGACTAACTTGACGGAACATACCGGGGTCGTCCATCTTCCGCTTTATACTCGCTATGTGCTTACACTCCTTACCACTTGCTTCCTCATACGTACTTGCCTACCCACTGAGGAGAAACGCATCAACATCACCCTCATCGTCCTGGGGTTCAGCCCAATATTATGCTTCACCGGAGAAAGCATCGAGAAAATGTAACGAATAGAATTTCTCAGAATTTGTTTAGCTTACTTTTACCTCATCGTCGGTTTCCCTTTAGTTCCGGTGTTCTCAAGGAGAATAAAATGTGATGACCTTTTCCTCAAGTTTTACATCTCGTATATATTTTATGTACATATATTCGCAGCTAAAGGTTAGCTCATGGTTGCGGATGCCACGTGCCTTTCTTTTTATCCGTTTGATCAGTTGGATATTAGATTAATTTTAAGTTCTGATCATGACGACTACGTGGTTGGTATGCAGCGAGAGAAGGAATTTCCTCCATTATTCCAACATCTTGTCCTAAAGAAAAACGTTGGGAGACGTCTGTGTGACTAGTGTTTTGACACTTCTGGGACAGCTAATGGCACCGTGTCAATCCTTGGGATTAGTTCACTCACGTGCTTAGGATGAGAATATTAAGAATAGCCATAGGTTCAATACCTCACTGATATTGATTACATTCCATTTGTTTTACTCGATAAATTGAGACATTGACTTTGTCTGAAGAAAAATTATTTCCGTGAGCATTTTTCTAAGGACAGATTGATTCATACTAAATAGAATTAGGTTTTAACCCAAAGCATTGCTGCAATTTTTTATTTTTCATTATTGAATTTGAACATACAAAATAATCATTGTGTGTAATATTTATTGAAATTGAACTTACGAATGTCATGATGATTCTAAATTTTTTAACTCGATTTTCATGTGCTTATTTATTTATCTAACATTTCAATTATGTAAACATGTATTTATCGGAATTTTGAGCGATTGAAGTTCACTAGCTCGGGACGATTCATGACGATTTGTGGCGCAACAATCTAGTACTACATACTTGTTTATATGTTGTTAATAATGTTTCCTGGTTTGAAACTTTCTATGAGAACCTTTGCCTGAACAAAGTTTTTGAATTACATTGTACTCTGCTTTCTTTCAAATATCAGGAAACTCGACACAACAAGATTGTGTTAACTTGAGCAAAAAAGTTATAAAAACTTAAATCATTGAAAAAATTGTTTAGCAAAAGTTGGTTCTTCGAAACAAAGTTTACTCAAACGGTACAAATTTCGAATCAAAATCATTTTGTTCATTGACCACCTTTGAAAATACCACTTTGTATTCCTTCAATTCTAATTTCTCGTGAAATGCAACTTCTATCTTCTTTATAGTTGAATGAGTTGTGGCTTACAGGAAAGTTGAGCAGTTTTTATTGTGGCACTTCCAAATACTGGCGAACAGAACATCAATGATGCTAATGTTTGAAACTACTTTTTTTAAACAAACTTGATTTGATGGAACGACGGTCTATGCAGCAAAGCACTTGGTGTTTGCTGCGGACATTGGTGAATCATCAATTGTTGAAAACAAATGTAATATTAAATCAAGAGATGAAATGAGGAGGAGGAGAGAAAGTTTGTGCATAGGAAAATTGAACATATTATGGCTATTACTTTCACCATTTTCTATAGTTCAACTTTAACATGGAACATGTTTTTGGTTCTCTTGCAGTTCGTCCTCTGGAGGTTACTTTGTTAGGGTCTAATCAACCCATGTCGGCTCTGCAAGAGATTGAAATCGTCTGTCAAAGTGTCGGGTCACGCCCACCGGCCGAAATCTCCTGGTAAATATGATCATGATGCACAAAAAGTACAATCATTCAAATATAATATGCTTTTCTCCTCTCTTTTTTTAGGTACAAAGACGGCATGCACCTCAAGTCAAGCCGGGAAGAGGTTAATCATCTTTATTATTCGTTTTTAAATTTTCCCTTCCCATTTTTCCCACGTGCTTCCCAAATTCCAAAAAAGAACACCTACTGGCAATTGTACATAGATCCTAAATACATTTTATACTGATAATCAAGCGACTTCTACTAACTACGCGTGTAAGTAATATCCCTGTTAGTCGTGCATATGTATGTAGAATGAGATTGAGTCGTGTTATTTGCAAAGAGAAGGAAAGGAATGGTGGTGGAAAATGTGGAAATGATTTCACTTTCAGTCAGCCACATCCTCGTCTGCAGCAGAGTCACCGAACCGAATCTGACGGATCATTACGGACGTCACTCTCTTACATGCATACAATATGTACATATTATAGTTGATCATATCCAAGGGAGTTGGCCAATTTGTATGGATGTTTATGTTGAGAATTATGCATGGAAGAGTGAACCAGGATTTTTTCAAAGTCTTGCATTAATCTTTGTTAGCTAGTTGGTACGCATGTAACTGAGGACCAAGTAATAAAGCGCTGTTCCTACCGTTCTGCGAACCAAAGAACAGGAAAGAGGAATGCCCAGTTATATTAGAAGGATTATGTTACTCGTATTAGAGGGAGAAAGTTGGAGGGAAATTTCTTCATAGAATCTTCCTTCGCGTTATTACAGAATAGTTGAAATAGTATGCAACAAAAAACTTTGTGAGGCAACATGGAAATTAAGGACGTATAATAATGTGGAGCTCGGACAGGCTGCCAGGAGTCATGTCGCTGCATTGTTATACAAATCCGTAGGCGTAGGCAAGTGACATCACTTTATTTGAAAGTCTTACTAATGAGGAATAGTTTTGAGTCGAGACTTTTCACCAACCAACCAACCTCGGTCTGCAATAGAGCATGCAAAACCACAACGCAACGAAGCGAGATGCCCCTCAGCCAGAATTCCAAATTCTCTCCTTCCAGCCATCTATCTCCCCAAGTTAACCTACATTCCCAGTCCCCAGTCCTCGCTTGCCCTTAACTTTATGTGACTATTTTATAATAATCCGTTTACAAGAGTTCCAGTTTGGTGGACCAAGCCGACTTTTGGCTGATGTAGTGCTGACTTGTCACTAGAGTTATGTGCAATAAAATAGCTTTACTGAATTCCTTTTTTTTGGGATGGCTAACCCGAAAGGTGTCGCCTACCGGAAATGTGTCCACATCCGTGTTAAAATTGACCCCTCGAGTTGGAGATCACGAGAAATCTTTAACATGTCGAGCGGAGAACACCCGTTTGGATGGGACCGCACTGGAAGACAGTTGGAAATTGGCCGTATTCTGTGAGTTTTTTGATCGATTTTCTTTATGCTCAAAAAAAATATATCACGAACGATGATGACGATATTCTTCACACTTGCCTGCCGTGTCCTTACATCAGTCGCGTAGTTCGTGGATATGAGACACGAATAAGAGAACGATAACTGATAGCCTATATTGCTACTACATACGTACATACATATCCCTTGCTACCTCATTTCTTCTCCCACGCCGGAACCTATAACTTGATCAGTTAGAAAGATGTCACTTCAAGTGTTATGTTTTAGTATTAGTCATGTCGGTCACACTCGTCCTGGCTGCCTCACCACTATCAGGTTCGAAAGGCTCGTATTACACTCATACCTTCGCTCCTTCTTCTTTCTTTCTTTCTACTTTAAGCTTTCTCCACATAATGGTATTACTTTCGCCCATGTCCTACTTAAATCTCCTTAAATATATGGCACACACACACTTTCTCTTTCTGACCACAAATAAGTACCTTTTACCCATACATACCGACTCCATTGCTGCCGAGACAGTTTGAGTGAGCCAATAGTGACGACGGACGACGGCTTTCTCAATTCGCCGTGGACTCGCACGAAAACGGACACGGGTGTTGGACTCTTTTCCTGTAATATGAAATCCTATCCATCATTTTTACACCGTCACCTTCAACCATTTTTCTCTCTTTTTTTGGAAGGAATGGTTGCATTTCTTTTTCTTCCCATCCGCCCAACTCTTTTCTATCCACTAGATCCTCCTGCTGCTGCTGCTATGTGCTGCCTGCCACTACTTCACATCCCATCACGTTTCATCATCTTTAAGCCAACATAACATAACAGCATATAACGCAATACATTATTACATTATGAGGAGATACCTCTTCGCAGCAAGGCTTCCCTCACTATAGTTTTGTAACGTAAGCCATTCAACGATCCAGCCGTCATTCTTTCTCAGAACGAAGGGAAAAGATGATGCACAGACCGCTCAGTTCACGTTTTGTAGCGTCATATTATTTCCTTTCACCACCCTTGCACAAGAGAAATTCGCACATGCCACCACTTGCTCAAAGTGAGAAGAACTGCGAGAAGAAACCTCGCTCTGTTCCTGTTGACTGAACATCAACATGTCTCGAATCAAGTATCGAATCTACCGACCAAGAAAAGTAAAAGCTGCTGCTGCTGCCAATGCCGGGTTTTGAAGTAGTATTAAAAATATTTTCAATATGACCCTTCATTCTCCTTTATCCGTCTCAAACTTTCGAGCAGCTCCGCACACTCCGTATAGGAAAGAATAATAAGAAGACGAAAAACAAATGATGCATGCGCCCGTCGGAAACGAACCTTGCATTCTACTACTTTGCACGAGAGGAATGTTATGTACTTACTTATGTAGGTATGCGTATGCACATATAGGAGACGAGGACGACGTCGGTGAAAGTATTGTTATTCCAAGAAGAGGCAGAGTTGAGTATTGCTTACTTCTCTCGAGTGTTACGTGACTGGTGGTGAAGACGAAGGGAGGAAATGTGACAAGAAGGACGTCTGAATGAACCGAGTTGAAAGTCAAGATTGAGATGAAGAGGAAATAAAAGGCTTTTGTCTTTTAGTTAACGGAATTCTTTCCTCTTTAATCTTTCCATGCAGCGACGGACTTAATTAGAGACTGAGAGGCGTGAAATGCAGAGAAAGTGGGGATAATGCTCATTTATTTTTCTCCACCGTTACCCTCCGTCTATAATGACAGAAGGGTAGCACCAGGAGAAATATTGAACGTGAAGTAAATACTTTATCACCTTCTTCTCAGGAGCACTTCCACCGTATGAGAACGAGTTTTTGATGAATTCTTCTCATTCTATTTGATAGTTAACCTGTTTTAGGGTACAGAATATAATAAGCGACTTTGCGTTTAAACTTTCCCAGTTGCTTTTATTGCCCACGTACATTTTATAGGCTATACATATGTGTGTGTATGTACGAGTAAGGACATACTTATACGCACTGGCTTAGGATTAGTCAACCATATAATTAAAATGGAGAAAGATTTTCTGCATGTTCCGAATGACGAAATGTGTGGCATAGTCAAATTTTCTGTTTTTCAATGCTTCATGAAAATAATAAAATGCGCTTGTTTCTCATTTGTTCTTGGCACAGGAGACGACGTAGGATGGAAAAGTGGTAGGGAAAGGGGATTAGTGCGGCTATTAGCTATTTAGATTATGGGCAGCAGCAGCAGCAGAAAGGGAGTAAAAGCTTGTAGGCACCCACCATTCTCATAAACTTACTGAACTAAACTTAATCTAAATAGTGGTGCTACATAGATCAAATCATTGCCGTAAATTTTATGCGTTGCCCACACCACCACCACCACCACACCATCCAAGAAAGCAGCAAAGAAAGATTTGGTTTCACTCGACTGTAATAAATTTCATCCCCTGCTGCGCTTCAGGAACATTTTGCTTGGTCTTCCTTGAGGTCGGTGACAGAGGGACCTAATAATGTGGTGGTTGTAGCTCTTAACTCAGTTTTGCTCAACTACTAATAAGCAGCATATAATCACAGGCATGGTTGGATAAACAGATGAACGCGCTTTTAATTGGATGTAATGTCTGGGTGAATTTTATGTACCAAACAAAAGGTCGATCAAGTAAGCAAGCAAGTTCTTCATTCCTCTCGCTCTCTCTCTAAATCCAAGCACCGCAAAGGCAGAACAGATTGTAAACATTAGTTTTCTTGTTCCTTCATCGGATTTCTTCACGCAGTCAAGACTGCTAAACTTAAAAACCCAAGGATAAAGGGAGTCCGGAATAGAAGAGAGAGTGGGTGTGTGTATGTGTGAGCGCATAATGTGTTAGATTGTGAGCTGAAAGTACCACGAAATCTTGAAAAAGTAATGCAATCTGGAATTGAGGTTAGTGGCAATCTAACAATGATGATGATAATTTCTTTTTCCCCACTTTCACCTCGAATATTGGCCCCAACATCCTCATTTCCCAGCACCACTGGCGGGTGAAGCACCTTAAAAGTACATAAAGAAAGTAAACAGTGGAACGAAGAGAGCAATATCAAACACCACACTTTTACCCACTGCATTATTACATGTATACCATCGACCGAGTGCAGGAGAGCAGGCAAAGGTATATGTTCTGGATGTTATTAAGTGCATAATGCCAATCGTGGCGACGACCAAGGCGGCCGAGCCAGGGAGAAAGTAAGACGAAACCTTATTACCCATTCTATCAGCCGCATTCTATAGTGCATGATATGGCATGATGCGATGCTCAGCCAAAAAAAAGTGGAAAACAGTGTTGAAAATCCATAACGCTGTCTTGTCAAGTTCTCTTCAGATGAAAGAAATTGGATACGTATACACACACACGTATAGACAACAGTAGATCCACCATCATACATATATATATATACGTACGGACGTAATTTAGTCTGCAACACCAACCACGTTTTTTTGCAACCACCAACAGGATAAGCTTCCAGGTCGCAATTCACTATCAAGTACCAACTACACCCTAAGGGAAATCGAGAAGAATGAGAGAATTGAACGTGGTACGGGGTGAGCGAGTGAGTATATAGAATGCAGAGCTGAAGAAAAGGTGATCGTGTGAATTTTCACCACCACCACCACGACCGACCTAAGAATGAAAATGTGGAGGTGGAAAGAAGATGTGCAAAAATGTATTTTCACTCCAATTGTTCTACTTTTCTTGTTTTCACGTAGTCAAGTGTTTATTCAGAGGGAATACTCTGGGTGGATATTTCCTTAGTTTAATTTATTTGGGCAAAAATGCATTTCTTACTTTATATGAGTAATGCGATTAACATACAAAGAAGAAATGAGCCTATTAGTAATATATGTACATGTAAATTAACTATATGTACATATAAAATATCACAAGTGACAAGTGTGCTGTCGTATCATCGTTCGTGAAGCCTATAAGTTTGGATATGCATGTGTAATTGTGTGTTGATAATTTATGGGAGCAATTGTTATAAGTAAAATTTATTTATTTATTCTTTCAGTCGTCCCGATTTTAACACTCAAACTGGGATCAAACCTCGATGCGGAAAACATCCGTGAAAATGACGATTGCTACTTTGAATGCCAAATCAGATCGAATCCGTGGGTATATAAAGTGGTCTGGTTGCACAACGTGAGTACTTGATATTACAATTGCTAAAGTTTGCTTCATGGCTTTGCTAAATTGCATTAATTGTTGCAAAAATATTATTAACTTAAGTTTTTTATTTCTTTTTTGGTTTTTGGTCCGTTATTCTATTCCTCCAAATGATACGAGGGATATGGCTATAATTCTGAGGCTTGTGGGTAGTGTTACATAACTTCAGAGTATAAATAAATTGAGATCTCAAAATATGATGGTGGTATTTATTATGAGCTGCAGCTCCCAAATTTACCAGTTCTCTTTATTTCAAGCCTCATCTTCGCGTAACTGCATCTTGTGAAATTGTTGGGAAAGTGGCCGTTTTATGGGAGATTGCCTTGTTCAGTTGGTTTTTGGCAGAGTTGAGATTGGCTTTGAGTCTTTTGAATTTGGCATATGTCAAGATTTTACTTTACCTCCAGCACTTTGCCCATTCTCGAGAATAAAATAGCAACAAACCGGTACAAAGTACAGCGATGTCTACACGGTTAGTTGTATGCTCTGTGGTGCATGAAGCATAAAATGAGACCTTTGGTAATGGTAAACTCCTACCCCAGCCATTTCTCCATCTCTCAAAGCCCACGACCACTGCCACTATCGCCCAATACCACCAACTAACCAACCCACTGACTCACATTTTGTACACGAGGCTTTTTAATATCTTCATCATCAACCCACGCTTTATTTATCCACCTTTCCCATGTCTGTCGGATGGAACAGCGTTGTTTCCGATTATGCAACATTTTAAGACGTCAAATACTAAATGAACAAATGAGGAGAGCTATCTCGGTTTGATGGTTTAGTGTGATTGTATCATGGAGAGTTATGCATAAGTATCTGTAGGATTACGACTGAGGAGGGTACGTGAGTTAGCATCAACATGATGTTTATGATTTCGCAACATATAAACTGCCCCTTAAAATAGCTTTTATATTTGTTCCTACTCGGTGAACTTGCACGTATGTACCTACGTGAATACGTTCAGTGGATTTTAATCATGTAGGCAGTTCTTAGAAGAAAATGCCTTTCATGCCTCGTGGAATTCTGAGAGTTTCACTGCCGGCCAGATTTATTTTGATGTCTGACTCTACTTACATCTTTTCACTCACAACCTTTGATGATGATCAACCATATCTTGTTCTTGTACGATTTTGTTATACGTCATAATGCCCTCCATTCCACAATAAACACATAAATATGTAGGTCTGTAAGTGTTGCTAGATTTCAAGTTTGTGCTCCATACTCCAGTTTAGATTTATATGAATTGAAAACTACATAGGCTGCTTCGTCTCGGATTTCCTAAGCATCGTGAGTACAGCCAAATATGGAACAAATTGTCTGAGGGTGGAATTAATTTTGGCAATTTATGAATATACGTACATGCATGCTGAATACATATATGCGAGTCCAGCCTCTCATCATTGTATGTAAGTGTGTATATATACATATTGTAAGTAATAAAATTGTTACTCAATTTTCAATCGTATTTTGCACATTCAAAACTGTGTGCATGTGTGTGCATACGAAGAGGCATTCCGAAACCTAACTAACGACGATCTAATTCACATAAGCCTGAATCTGAAGTAGGATTTCGAAACTTACACCAAAGTAGAATAAAACTTTGAAAAAACTGGAGGGAATTGGCCTTGTAAAATCTACTGCTACTGGCACTTTCACCGAATTTGCGAAATATGTAATTTTTAACCTCTACAAGGCTGCTGACTGCTCTACTCACACATTATCCAGATACATAACTCTTGCCTGTAATAGAAGAATACGCAATGTGTACACACTTTCATGCTCTTCAAATTAATTAAATATTAAATTAAACTTTTGAAATAAGACATTTTTTGTTGAACATTAGAGCGTATGCTGCCTACAATTTTGTGTGTATAGAGTTGGTGCGCAATTTGAAATTCCTGTTTTAATGCGAAATAAATTATTAGCATTCCACATGTTAGGCATATAAAAGTTAAGTTTCACAAGAAATCGTTTTTTAGAGAAACAACATAAATTTGCTGAGCCAACTTTGGATAATTAGGTCATGTTCCACCAAATGAAAATTTGTGAAATAGTTTTCACTCCATTTTAATTCTGTTTTACAGAAACACAGAATGAATGAACAGTGTTTCACAATAATGAAATAGTGAAGCTCATCGTCGTCCTTCCTTGCATCAGGCATCCGTGTTACACACAGTCAGCCAGCCTGTCTCATCTAAATTCTTTTGTGTTGCTTTTCCACAATGAACGTGAACACGGATTCTCAAATTTTCACTCAGCCATTCTCTCAAAACTAGGAAATTCATAATGAAAACTAAAATTAGTCGGTTGCAACCAACATGCTTGACTGTATATCTAGCGGAACTACATAATATTCTTAAAAATTTGAACTTGTCCGATAAAATGCGTATTCATTTATGTATTAAATATTCGCCACAACATGCACACGTTTTCAACTGACAACTGAACGTTATTGATTATCTGTATAAAGCTAATTTATTGATGAAGCGGATTGTTGATTGAAATATTGAGAAAATAATTACAAACAGAACAATGGTTGCTAATTTGTGAAATGTAGCAACTCGCGCCATCGCCCACCCTCATCACGTCATACTTTTGTTAAAGGTTTGACATGTATAAAAATGAAGCATCATTAAGCTGATAAGTCAAAGTAACGTGTTAACTGTTTTTTTAAATATTGGTACAAATACGTGGAAAGTTGGTGTATGTATGTACGTACTGGATACATGCGTAGTCGTACTGCATTTACATGAGACGCGAGCATGTTTTAGCAGTTATTTTGTGCTTTCTCCCGGTCACGCTCGTTCCGGTTCATATCCGCTTTGAATATTGTTATCGTATGTTTTGCATATTTTAGCTGCATCAGACGCCTTTTACTGTTTTAATGAGCACAAAAGAAAATTAAATTACATTAGGACACTAAACCCATATGGCATTAACTTCCAGTTTTTCACTCAGCTACTACGCTTGCTGGGCTGAACATTAGGGAAAAAGCCAAGTACTGTGCCATGCAGCATTGTTCCTTTACGTACGACTACACGGCCAAAAAGTGAGAGTCGGTCGGGCGGTCGGTTGGGCCTCGCTCGGCGTTATTTAATTAGATTTAGTAATGATGTATTGCTCATTTGCCTTGTCTGGCCATGTTTCGTTGTAGTTTTATGCACACCGCCTTCTTTGTTCTCCTGGAAGTAATTATGAGGGTATTTTTATATATTAATTACAGGGTGTCATACTGCAACATAATGCCTCCGCCGGCATTATAATGTCGAATCAATCACTGGTCTTGCAGAAAGTCAAGAGAAATTTAATAGGCCAAATAATGTGCAGTGCTACCAACATTCAGGTACTTTTACACATAATATAATAATGACTTTCATTTTATCGAATGGCGAAATTAATTTACTTTTCTTGTACTTTTTCAGGGCGATGGAAGATCTAACCCCGTGGAGCTGAAAGTGATGTGTGAGTAGTTACTCGGTCTATTTTTAGCTAAAAGAATTTTCCAAGGGTGAAAACTTTCTCTCTTAATATTTTTTTTGTGGGAAAGCTTCGCTCTTTCTGAGATAACTGTGAGCTGGACAAGATTTTCAAATTTTCACCACTATTTTATGCATAGTTCGTGTGACCAAATTCATGTGCCACACATATGTGATGGAGAAAATTGTGGTTGGTACGGTGTGGTTTGGTGATGAACAAAGTAACTCGTGACATGTACACAGGTTTTTTCTTACAGTTAAAGCAAATTATGCTTCAGAATTTAAAATGAGAAAGTGAATTAGTTTGAAACCAATGTTGAACTTGACAACTTTTTCATGCTTAAGCAAAATAATTTGCCTGTGTAAAGGCTTGACTAGACCACTAAGGACATTATTGATGGGTAACCCTTTCGCCAATTTTGTTATTTCAGTCCGCACGTTTTAGGAACGTTGTTGCAGGTTTGTAAAGAGGAAGGATGAAGGGAAGGAAAAAAGTTTAGACATTCAAATCCTTGGAATGAAAATGAAAGCTTTGAGTAGTTGAAATGGGATGCATAATTAAACTAAAAGGGTTATCACAAGGGAATAAAATTCTGATGAGGTTATTTCAAAAGATGTCTTCGGCTCAGCACTAACTACAACTCCAATCTTTAAAATTTTACCATCACCACTACCACATCATCATCATATGCATGCTCACTATTGGAGAGTCACTGTAGAAGGAAGCAAAAGAACATAAAAATCGCTGGCAGCAGTGAACCCGTGCCGCTATGCAATGGCAGACACTAGAAAATTATTCCAACAACCTTTAATGATATAATTCGTAATTCGTTTTCTTTCTCCTTTTGACACAGACAAACCATTGTGCAAACCGGATCAGAAGGTGAGTGGTTTAATCATCACTGGAGATTAGATTACTAACAATGAACATATTTAACTCTGACAAGGTTGGGTTAGAGAGTTCTTATGATGATCTTATCCATGACCATTGTGAACAGTTAGTTAAAATTATCCAACCTGAAAACTTGGGTGTGTGCCTGGACTTTTTAAACTGAAAAGAGTGAAACTGGAGTCTAATATGTTAAATTCACAAAATAATAATGTTGAAATTTTGGCAAGTACATATTTAATAATACTCACGTAATTTTGCTGTGTTTCAGAGAGCCTATGGAGTTGCGAAAGGCGAACAAGTTGAGATCGAATGTCAGGTTGATTCTAATCCAACGGCTGAAAGTTTCAAATGGGCTTTCAACAATAGCGCTGACAGCATCGACGTTCCACAAGTATGAATTGTTATCCTTGTATATTAATTTATGCAAACAACTTTTAATCAAGAAACAAAGCACATACATTAAAATTGTCAAAATTTCTGCAATATAATTCATGTCTAAATGGAAAACAGTCTGGAGAAATTTTCGGCCAACTTTGATGGTAGTATTTACAGACAAATAACGATGCAGGTCAACAATGCATATTATACACACACGAAGAACAACACATGCTTACGTCGTTCCATGCTGGCTGAGAGGAGTCAGCTCAGGAACAAAGAAATGTCATGTCGTCCCTTTGCGCTGCTTGACTTTCACTCTATATGCAAAATAAGAAATTGAACAAATTCCCAAATCAAGGCATAGCATATTTGCTTGGAACATTACGGTGGCTATATTTATCGTTTCAATGCATCCCCTTGAAACTTGGTTCCGTTGTGTTTCATTTAAAAAATTGACCAAATTTTATATATGCATTTTAGTCGTATGTGTAAGTCACATGTGTAGTAAATCTTAATATACTTGCATTAATTATATGATTACGCGTAGAATTACATAGTCAGCACAATATTCGGTAATGCTTCCCTAACGAGAATTAGACCAATTACAACTCCTTTGGTATAAAACCATGCACGTGGATATCCTCTTATCAGTCAATGGATTAAACTTGGGTTGCGTAAGATGCTGTACTTGCAGAATACGTGAATTTTGTTACATGAAATCAGGACATTGCAGAGATAATATGTAGTCCAGTGACTGCAGATTTGGTGGTGGTTAGTTGTCTGTTTCCCTCTTTCTCTCTTCCGTGTAATTTACATTAAGCTCAACCCAAAACCTGGGACTTCAACTTTCTCGCATTTTCTAACTTGTTCAGATCCCAAATCCAACTAAAGTAAACGACTTTGCTGGGAGGCTTAACTTGGCACAATTTTGAATTTTGGAGAAATAGGTAGAGTGGTGGAGCAGAGGCAAAAGTTGAGGAAAGTGCTGAGGGAGTTTAAGTAAAGTGAACTACAGTTTACTCTGTAAAGAAAGAAGTCCCAAGGTGGAGTGGAATCCATTCCTCCAATTCTGCATCTCTTTGAAGAATCCATTTCATTTGCACAAACTGACTAACGCTAACCCATTTACTCACTGACTTTCTCCATTCCTCATACTGAATACTGAGCAGCCCCTTCTTGTGACTGCACTGTCTAATTTCTCCAAATTCTAATGCTCTAAATTGTGCAAATGGCCCAACACTTCATGTTTGAATCAAAACTATCTCTCTGCAGCTCTTTTGCTAGCCACATCACGCCGAGGATTCCACATCCTTCTAGAAACCCTTCTATAACATTGCAAATTGAACCGTAATGTGCAGCAGTCGTATTTACCTACAATGAAATGAACGCTATGCATGAACATTGAAGCCTGATTTTCAATAACTGGAAAACTTTCCAGCCAGTACGTCAATTTCTACTACATGCACATTCAAACACATTGTGAACAACAATGAAGAATCACTGCTAGCAGTATTGATACCTAGATGGTGATAAACCATGCACGTGTTATGTGCATGTACAAATACACGTCTAAATATGTACATATGCAGTTGAGGAAACGTAAACCAACGGAAAATAAGTTGGTGGGCTCGGACATTTCCAGAATAAGAGCTAATTTCCTAATTTCACATTTTGCTTACAGGCACGATATTCCACCAGCTCAAATGCCAGGTTGGGATCATCCAGCATCCTCAAATACACGCCTCACACCGAACTGGACTACGGATCTGTCATCTGTCTGGCATCCAACATCATTGGTCAGCAAGTGGAGGCTTGCATATTCCACATTATTCCTGCAGGTACGAATTCCCTCCCTTCAGATATATTTTCAAAAGGTTATTACGAACGGGACGAGCCTCGGGTGTGTTGTTCATTTAATGCTGATTGATCTACATGCATCCATCTCATCGCCACCGTTTCATCTCATTCAGTCCTTGGATGAATTTACATTTGCGAAATGAGCTTTCACTTTCACTCATCTCCTTGTTGTTTCGATGGATGGATGCATGCATGATGGTTAACTACGTGTGTGCATGAGACTACGGTGTGGTAAAATAATTGGATTGATTAAATAAACGAAAGTGTTGAAAAAAATGAAGGTGAGAATGAAATTGTCGTCAAAATGTACCAATCCACCACCAGTTATTTAGTCACTGCTGCACAACACGAAGGTGCGGTATCACGTTTTTTTTTAATTTGTTTATTTTTTGTCGCAAGTAAGCATATGTCAAATGTGCGTAAACCTGGAATTTACTCAGTAAATGTCAATAAGTTTCATCCTTTACAATATCGAATTGTTTTTATTTCGTTGAAAAATGTGGCATGAAATTGCATACATATATTCTAAATTCTAATTCAATTTCAGGCAAACCCGATCCTCCGTTCAACTGCAGCGTCCAAAACATAACTTCCGAGTCACTGGAGGTAGAATGTGTCGAAGGATTTGATAATGGTAATGGAACTCAAAATGCAAATACATAAATGTGTTTTAAATCACCCCATTTCTAATTTCCATAAGTTTCTGAAATGTTAGAATAACTCAATTGTATTTTAATGTTCCCGTCAATTTTATTTACTACCAAGTTCACCGTAAAAAATCTTCATACGCGTGGTTCCTTCAGCCGAAAGCAGTCCCTAAAACATTTTTTTATTTAGGGATGCCGCAAATTTTCCACATGGACATTTTTGATGCCGGAAACTCTCATCTGTTGTCAAATGTTACTTCAATGATTCCATTCTTTGTTGTGAGTGGGCTTCGACCCGGTCAAGCCGTGCGATTACTGGTCTATGCAGCCAATCGGAAGGGAGGTTCCGAGAGGATCATCATGGAGGCGCAAACTATTCAAGAAGCTGAGAAACGCACGGGTAAGGGTAAGCTAATCCTACGCATTACTAGTAGTTGATCACTTTCAGTTTTCAGTTCTAAAAATATGAACCCAATTAACTTTAAATCGTTCGTAAACATTTTATAGAACCCCATGCCTGTGCATTACCCATGTGCATTTTTTAATTCGGAAATGAATATTTTCGTTACTTCGTTAAATAAGGCTACAATGATGAATAATAGAGGTGTGGACATTAATTTTCCATAAGTCGTCGCGTGTTTTACATTGTCGTTCATTTGCAATTTACATCGGAAATTATGTAGAATTAGAGTAGCGCTTTGGTAAAACTACAAGACTGGAGCTCAATTCGTCGTTCAGGGACGTGTATGTAAGTGTAACTTGATTTGTGTTTTATGAATTTTGACTCACAAACAAGAGTTGAAACAAAAATATAATGCATATTACTGAACACAAAGCATGTAACTGTGGAGGCGTTTTGAGAAGAGATGATGACATCTTAAATACTAGGGCTGTTATATTAGCTGTGTTGAGTACAAACGAATACAAAATCCTTCTGATCACTGCTATCCTCTACAAAATTTAGGTTTCATTTTTCTTCACATGTTTGTGGGTTGGAATTTACAAAAATTAAACAATTATTATAGATTTAAATGCAAAAGACACTTGCAGTGTGAGTTTGAGAATACATTAAAGTAATACAATTCCACTACTTTTCTTGCACATTGCCAGAATTTTAAATGCAGGAAGCCTCCTGGAGAGATAACACTTTTCGCTATTGGGAATGGTGGGTGGTGGTGGTGGGGTGAAAGCACTGTAAGAACTTGGTCAGGAATGGATGAGGGAGGAAGGCGTGGATGGATGTTTCATTCCGCTGTTTCTGGTGGACAAGTGTATAAAGATATTTCCTCTGACAAGTTCTTCTCACAAGACGGAAATGAATTCCATTTACAAGTGAGACTCCTTTGTCTCCTTCCTTCTTGACTCTGTCTCATAAATAAGCCATGCTATACATACACACACCCGACCAACCAGCCAACGCTCCAACTTTTCTCCTCCTCTCTCCACTTTTAGCAGCTTTCTCCAACCAAATATATCTGCACCTCTTCCACCGGCTCATCAATTTCACGTGTCTACATGAAACACATGAATTTCGCGAAATGTGTGTAAGGATGGCTAAAAATAATGGGAAAACGTACTGAAATTGTTACGCTGCGTGAGTTAGGTATTTCCGAAGAAATGTATGAGGTATGATAACGAGTGCACATTTAAACGATCATCATTTATGTATGTAGTTGGTGTTAGGTCACCTATAGCTCGGCGTTTTTGGCCCAAAACCGTATCTGTTTTACGTGGCATACTTACTTCAGCGTGCACATTTGAGACGTTGATATTAAAGATCAAAGGCATGAACTAACTTGGGTTCAATTGGCCACTTTAAAAATATATTATTCCAAAAGAGAGTTAGAAATAAAATTACTACATATTTGCATATGGGGAAAATGAGATTAAAAGATGCAGAACTTCTCAAGATTACAGCACAGATTTGCATAGCTCGAACCATGACATATTTGTTATTTATTCTCGGATTATGGATATATCATATAGGATATGTTGCTAAATAAGTCGAATATTTTCCACTAATTTTTACCTGATCAATGCCTTCTTTCTAGAGTTAAGACAGGTAGAAAGTTATATAAGCCCTGGGTTTGGCTAAAAATGAACGTGTTTCTGACTATATGCATGACAAGATATTATAAAATATGATATGCTTTTCTTTCAGCCACTCAAGTGGACTTTGAGCTGACGCCAGTGTTGGGAGTGTGCGTAGGAGTTGTTTGCGGTCTGCTGGTTGTGGCCCTCGGGGTTGTCCTCGCCTTAAAATTCCGAACTGAAAATCGACACAGTCCTGCCCTCAAGGTCACCAAAACTGAGTATCGTGTCGACATGGACGAACCGGAGGAAAAGAATCCGGATATTATTCCCAGCTCAAAGGGTGAGAGAAACAAAGAACTCGCTAGAAATTGCTTGAGATATGATAAACATCTTATTGACAAGTTTTGCTTGGAAAATACAAAAGAAAGTTAGAAATGAACTGATACTTATTTTTCCCCCAGATTCCGACTATTTCTACAATGACGGACTTTACAATAATGGGCCAAAGCGAAATGGTAGTATTACAGAAAACTTTCAAAACTGCACGTATTACAGTAACAAGGTGAGTAACACACATATATCCTAGTTTGCATGCAATTTAATAGAATAATAATTTTGGTAATTGTTTCTTTAACCGTTGCAGAGCAATTCCGAAATCACGTACGCCGAGTTGTGCCTGGACAACAATGGCACCGGGCCGGCGAACGGTGGGCCGGGGATGCTGGTGGGAACGGTGGGTGGTGGTGGGAATTGTGGATGGAACACGATGGACAGAAAACGTCGGCGAAATCCGTTAGATGAAGCACCTCCTCCTTCAAATGCCATCATTTATGCTACAATCGACCACAGAGCAATTAGGACAAATGGCGAGCCCCCAAATCACCACCATCAGCAACAACCTCATCAACGGGAAATTGTGTCAGTCCGGACTCCACTTCTTGTGAACTCGCAGCAAGAAAGTTGTGTGTAGAACTGTTCAAAACTGTATGCACAACAAGCGTACATCCAACCAAACCAGGCCAATGACAAAAGTCCTTTCCCTCAGCATTTACACAATTACATAATGTGGTGATATTAAAATATGTTTCTTATATAATCTTAACTATTATATGTCTAATATTACTGTAACGTACAACGTATGTACAGTATACTTGCGATGACGATAGGCATAATCATGTAAATGAAACGAGTAACTAAATATTAAATACATGTACTACGGCATCCTCTTAAATTTATTTAGGAGAGAAACAAATATTTAATATGAAATGAAACTCATTATTATTATTATTATGTACTAGTTTATTTATACTCCTCCTCAGAGTATGATCAATGTAAAGTTAACACAGGAAAATGAGAATTATCAAGTTCCAGAACTACATGTACTATTTGCCAAATTTTGTAGGATTACGAAATGTCAAGGAACTACTAGGTTTAGGTATATTTAATATAAATGTGTAGCCCCGAGTTGTTTCACAGTATTTTCAAATTGAAAATCTCAATGTGTAAATATAAGTTTTCGATGTCTATGACTTGGTCGAGATGCAATTTACTTCATGGCGTATGTACCGATGTCATGTCAAATAGTCACAATGTCATGAACATCACCACTTTACCGATCTGTAAAGCATAGGAAAACCCAAAAGTTTCAAAATGTGTATTGCAGTATTTTTATATATACAAACCTGTGATCTGATCTCAATTATAGTCCCATAGTACGTAGGCTGTTTTCATGCACAATTGTATTTAAATATTATGTAGATCGGGCTAATCAAAAATGTAATACTGTGCATATGTATATTATTCGTGCGAGTGTGTGTAGCTTGCTATATGAACGTGAATTATGAATTGAATTTGTATAATACGTAATTACGCTAATGTCTGTAATTAATGAATAATGTTATATACACATTTTCTTCGTAGTTTATAACTAAACCTGGTATTCGTCGTCGTTATTATTATTAATTATGAGAAAGCGCAATTATATTTTTGACCTAATAGTAATTAATTACTGTTACTAATTATAATTGTATATGGTCAATGGACGTTTTATGAATTCAACCGTCATGTGTTGTAATAATGAATGAATTAGTTGTTACATTGCATGTATGTAATATGCGTTTTGTGCTAACACTAATTTACAGAGCTGCAATACTCAAATAATCATGTAATATCATATATGTGAAGGAAAACTAAAAATAATAAAAATTGAATCGAGATAAAATAAAAATCCCATCAAATTGATATTACCAATTTATTTCCCAAACAATCAAACTTAATTTTGACTTGATGGCTGCTCGACAAAGTTTTTATAATATATGGATTCAAGAAACTTTACAGAATTTTATCATCCATCAATGAATGAGAGCGACGGCATTGGCTAGAATAATTTTCTCTATGTACACTATATTTATCTGCAGTTGTAAAATGACTAACGGTGGAATTGTTTGCAAGCTCTAATGATGTTCTGCAGCTTCCTTTGCCCTGATGTCGGCCCATTTCTTCTTATTCTCAGGAGAGTTTGCTAAAATTCAAATAAATATGAGTGTTGATTGCAATCTTCTTAATATTCTAGTTTAAAATAAGTAGCACTTACCAAGTCTGCTAATCTTGTAGAAAACTGGAAGAGATAGAACGCAGCCGTAGATCCAATAGCGGAAAATCCATTGATTTTTGAACATCCACTTATACGGGAATTGACGAACTTGGGAAGTGAAGGTGTAAGGGTACTTCATCGCCCTTTCTGTCACTGGGAATAACCCATGCCTAAAAAAACAGCACATTATCAATTCAAGTTATCAGGATTGAAGATGAACTGTTCATCTTGAACAATTAAGTGCTTCGTCCATTCTATGTTAATAAATACAAAGTAACTGAATTAACCAATACAACAACCAACTTACTCGGACCCTCCAGCGACCTTATCCATCTTGGAGGAGGTTGTCCTGTTCAAATTTCAATTTTGAAAGAAAAACTTTCGTCCGCACCCCTTAAACCGGACTGGATGGATTTTCTTCTTGCTCTTTCTCTCCTGTTCAAATCAGTCCCGCTATCTCTCTCGTCACCTTCGTCACGAGGCCGAATTAGTTACCACCAGATGGGAGGGATAATTCATGGAGTGATAACATACCATTCTTCTAAAAATTTTAAATTGGAAATTTTGATAAGATAAAATATTTTTTGTAAACTATTCATATTTGCACATTATTCTAATTGTTTTCAGAATTTTGAAATGTTGGTTCGAGTTGATGATTGCTCCAACGTGGGAGCAATTGCGCACTGACGCATGCGCACCATCTCGCACTCGCACTCACTCAGTCGGTGCTGGGAAACTATTTTTCGTCATCTTGCTTGAGTAGTTATCCAGTTGCCAGTTATCCTTCATCCTTCATTCGGATTGATTGGTTTGATTGATCTCGAACATTTCAAGTATTTCAAGAACAAAAGGTAAGCAATTATAATTATAGAATGAAAGGTCAACTTCTTGGTGAGGCCTGGCCTGTTGAACAACTTTTAACTTTTGAATCAAAATTTTTGATATTGCTACTGATAGATGCCTAAAGTAAAGTTGCAAAGCTCGGATGGAGTCCAGGTTGATGTGGACGTCGAAGTTATTCAATGCTCTCAAACCATCAAAACCATGTTGGAGGATTTGGGATTTGAAGAGGGCGACGAAGAAGTGATCCCGTTACCCAATGTCAATTCCACCATCTTGAATAAAGTCATCCTTTGGGCTACTCATCACAAGGTAGGTTTTTTACAGGGCCCTAACACCTAATAATTTGTTAGTGTTTGTTATATTTTGTTTACGTTGTTGACTTTTTTCTGGAATGTACAGGATGATGCTCCACCTCTTGAAGATGATGAGACCAAGGAGAAACGAACTGATGATATCAGTAGTTGGGATGCAGACTTTTTGAAAGTGGAACAGTCCACTTTGTTCGAGCTGATTTTGGTACAAATATTAAATATTTATTTAATCTTGCCTTCAAAGTCATGTGTTGATAATACTCAATATATCCCTATAGGCAGCAAACTATTTGGATATCAAGGGCTTGTTGGACGTGACCTGCAAGACCGTGGCAAACATGATCAAGGGGAAGACCCCCGATGAAATTCGAAAGCAGTTTAACATCAAGAACGACTTCACTGTTGCTGAAGAAGAACAAATTCGCAAGGAGAACGAGTGGTGTGAGGAAAAGTAGTCGCATTCGTGATAAGTTGTACGTAGGGCGAAAAATAGGGTGGGACAACAGCAAACAATTTTTGATAGGCTACCCTGCGCACCTTTCTTTTATTTACAATACAGATAAGTTAAGCTTGAATTTTTCTGTTTCATTTCCTTCAAATGCATATTAAATTCAACAGTTTCCTAATTACTTATGATTTATTACATTTCTTATTGGCATTCATGATTGCTACAGTATTACTCTACGGAAAAACTTGTATTTGTAATATTCAATGATGACGTAAACATAAATTAAGTTTATAGTCGGATTTATGGGGGTATACATTCAATCCTTTTTTGAATCTCAATTTTCCCATAATCATATTTCGTAAAAAAGTTTCATAAATCTACTGAAGATTATTTCTAAATATGTATATATTTAAACAATTTCCCAAAACTTGATGAAAAATTGACGAAATCCTGACTAAATAATAAAGCATGCCACGCTATTATTGATATTTACGCACTATAAAACGTGTTATTCCTTATCATTCGTACGAACGAAAACTTGCGAAGCTTATCAAAGATAAGTGATCATTGTCAAAATAAAGCGGTCATTTTAACGTAACCTTGCATGCAAACAAAAACTGCAACGAAAGCGAGTCTCCCGATGCCCACTCCATTTGATTGCCGCGGTTCAACCACGGAGCGAAGTCGGCAGACCTTTTCGTTTCTCGGTTTGTGATGTGAGGTCAAAAATCAGGTGTATAGAATTTAAAAGTCCAATTTTAATATTCAAAATTATTCTTGAAGTATCGTGCTATTCATTTCGACTAGTAATTATGTCAAGGCGTCAAAGCATTAAAATTTAGGCTCATCTATACTAAGAAACCGAATATCAAATACAAAATCTTTGCAAAGTTAAGCATTCAGATTCTGAATTTCAGTCAAAATTTGTGAGGGTTAATAATTTAATCAAGCAAAATGGGAGTTCCAGCATTTTTTAGGTGGCTTACTAAAAAGTACCCTTCAGTTATTGTACACTGCATTGAAGAAAAGGTAAACACAAAATACACGTACATATTGCATATAATATGTTCAATATTGGACATGAAGTGTGGGTGTAAATGTAGTCGGGTCGTGGCCGTCGTAAACTTTTACATTATATGTATGTGTTAATTGTTTTTACCATCTAACTGCGCTTTATTTTAACGAATTTGCAGAATGCTACAATTGATGGCACTGATGTTCCTCTGGACACATCAGCCCCTAATCCAAACGGGGTCGAATTCGATAATTTGTACCTGGATATGAACGGGATTATTCATCCATGCACTCATCCCGAAGATAAGTAAGTTCATGTGGTATAATTAAATTTGGCGAGTACAGTGCAGCATCAACAAAATCATCGTGTTTTGTGAATCTAGACCAGCGCCGAAAAATGAAGACGAGATGATGGTTGCTATTTTTGAATGCATTGATCGTCTATTTCGAATTGTTCGGCCACGAAAAGTTTTGTATATGGCGATTGATGGAGTGGTGAGTGACATTATTGCAACGAAAGTTATATTAATATATCAGTTCACAATTGCAGGTCACTAATACAGTTCACAATTAAAATTAAAAATTTATAAATATCTTATTTAGGCTCCTAGAGCGAAAATGAATCAGCAGCGATCTCGGCGTTTCCGTGCTTCAAAGGAAACGAGTGAAAAAATAAAGGAAATAGATCGGGTTCGAGAAGAATTGATTTCCAGGGGGTGCGAGGTTCCTCCAGCAAAGGAAAAAGGAGAACATTTTGACAGCAATTGCATTACTCCGGTTAGTTCACATACCATAATTCTTGTTTATAGTTTGGTTGATTAACGTGATATATTAGTGGAGTGGATATTATTTCTTAATTTTTAGCTGAATAATAAATAAATAAACAAGGTCCTAAAAAAGAGGAAATCTTAGTGAGGCAGTGCAGTTACAACTAATAAATGAAATTAGATTGCAGAGTTTTTGTATCACCGCTCTCGGTACAATTTTTTCTGGAAGCATTAATCATTTAAAATATTTATTTGGTCTGTTCGTAAGAATAATAGAATATCCAAATTAATAAGGGAAATTATAGATTAGCTTTTTAGAACTTTTTAAAACAAATCCGTATATAGTTCACAATAGTTTACCAATTATACTTTATCTCAGTAAATTTAGCCCACTTCTCGTTTTTAGCAAAAACACCTTCTTGAAGTCTCTATTTACTCAGTAAAATCAAGAATTCACGCATATATGTACGAAGCAAAGTTTATAGTTAAAATGGTACCGGGAGCGGTGATGCAAAAATTCTGCAATCTAATTTTATTTATTAGTTGTAACTGCTCACTAAGATTTCCTCTTTTTTAGGACCTTGTTTATTTAATACTTGTACTTAAGTGATTTGCATAATAAACACCACGAATTCCTCAAATTTAGCGTTAGCATAGCATTTGTTGTCAGCTAAATACTACCAAGTGTGTAAATGGAATATTGTAGCGGCTTCTTAACCGATTTTGACTCTCCTCATCTTAAAATTTACAGAAAAATCCTCTATAATCCATGGGGTTTGAAAACTTTCTTAGCTGTTCTATAAATCAACCATAAAGGAAATTGCGTTACTAAGATTACATTTTTGGCTGTAAAAATTAAAATTACAAAAGCGAGTTCGATAACCATTGCTTAATGATGATACCTGTAATTTAACTAAAATCAGTTGAAGATGAAAATCTTTGCATGAGTTATCCTGCAGTCACTTTGTTGGGGTGGGGTGAATGCATAGTTAGTGATTTTTTTGTTGCTAGGAATTTGCCTCACTAAGAAAAATCATTACGCAGTTAATTCTTAACCGATTTTGGTCATATTTGGCTTAAAAAATCCAGAGTGAGTTTATCTAACATTTTGCCATCAGAAAAGTACCCCTGATTCTCCAGTAATTAGTTAAAAATCAAAATGTGTTACCAAGGGTACATTTTCGTTAGTAAGTCAGGTAAAAATCAATCAATCGCTAAGTCCAATAGCAAATCGTTTTCGAATTGAGTCAGAATGACCGGTGCAAAATTTCATCAAAATCGGTTGAGAAATGGCTAAGTTATCGTAAAATGTCACTTTTTTTAACGTGAGTAACTGCATACTTAGTGTTTTTTCGTTGCTAAGTATTTTGCCTCACTAAGAATAAATTTGTGTACATAGGGAACGCCATTTATGGACCGACTGTCCAAATGTCTTCATTATTACATTCATGATCGTCTGAATAATGATCCTGGCTGGAGGAACGTGAAGGTGTTTTTATCTGATGCAAATGTCCCCGGTGAAGGTATGTGTACAAATAATTTTTTTTAAGTTGAAATTCATGCTGTGAATAAGTTATAAGTTATCTATAACTAATTACACTTTCAGGTGAACACAAAATAATGGATTTTATCCGGAGACAAAGAGCTCAGCCTGACCATGACCCCAATACTGCACACGTTCTGTGTGGAGCTGATGCAGATCTTATAATGTTAGGATTAGCATCTCACGAACCAAATTTCACAATTATCCGAGAAGAATTTAAGCCAAATAAGCCACGCCCTTGTGACATCTGCGGTCAAATTGGACATGAAATGAAGGATTGTCTAGGATTGGAGAAAGAAGTTTGCGGTGAACATGATGAAATAGCCGCTCCGTTTGCTTCGGAAGTTGAATTTATTTTCGTCCGCCTTAACGTTCTTCGGGAATACTTGGAAAAGGAGCTTCATATGCCAAATTTGCCATTTCCTTTTGAGTTGGAACGAGCAATTGATGATTGGGTATTCATGTGTTTCTTTGTTGGAAATGATTTCTTGCCACATCTTCCATCGCTTGAAATTCGTGAAAATGCAATTGACAGGCTCGTTGAACTGTACAAGAAAACGGTTTATAAAACTGGAGGATGGCTGTCTGGTAAGTATTATATATTTTATATGTTCGAGACATTACTCAATGAATTACTTGGGTAAGCTACTACTACTAAATTTTACTAGATAGTGGAATTCCAGACCTGTCGCGAGTTCAACTTATTCTTTCTGACCTTGGAGAAGTTGAAGATGAAATATTTAAAAATCGTCAGCAAAATGAACTCCGATTTAAAGATAGAATGAAGGCCCAGAAACGTAGGAAGCAAATGGAGCAACAGGCAAATTCAAACTGTTATTCTAGACCAGCGTATCTTCCTGGTGGTCAATTTGCGCCAATGGTATGTTTTTTTATTACTGTTTATCAATTAGTAATACAAATGATAATCTTGCATTAGTAATTATGACGATTGATTAATAATTAAGTCATTCTTCTGAAATTTAGGCAATTGGAAGCAGTCCTTCTGCTATTCATGAAGCAAAGAATGAAGCTTATAACATGCGGCGTCAAGGAATGCACACCAACGTAGACAGTGCGACCTCGAAATCGAACACTGCGGCTGCTGCTGCACTAAAGTCCATGTTGCAAGAAGTTAGTTTATATATCTACAATGATATATAATGATATACGTATTATTTAGTGATGAACTTTATTATTCATTTTTCTAGTCCCCAAAGTCTGATTCTGGCCGAGATGACAGCTTCAACTCTTCTGGGTCCAGCTTTAGCCCGAGTCCAAGTCCTAGCCCAAATTCAAGTCCTTACCATCAAGGTGTAAAAAGACCTCATGCTGATGATTCCGACGAGGAAACGAATGATGAAGTTCGACTGTGGGAAGACGGGTTTAAAGACCGTTATTACGAGTCAAAGTTTGATGTTGCAGTAGATAATTTCAAATTTCGAAACGAAGTGGCTTCACAATATGTCCGAGGACTGTGTTGGGTGTTACGTTACTATTATCAGGTATAAAAACAAACTCATAATCCTTACAACTATGAATGGTTCTAATTTAAGTACTTACTAATTTCTTATCATTATCAAAGGGTTGCGCATCATGGAAGTGGTATTTTCCGTACCACTATGCACCTTTTGCATCCGACTTTATAAATGTTGGTGACCTTTCAACAGAATTTGAAAAGGCTACGCAACCAGTAAGTTTTATAAATAATTTTAAACGCTTGTTATTGAAGACATTTTCTGTAATTTTAAAAATTTATAGTTTAAGCCTTTGGAGCAATTGATGGGCGTATTTCCAGCTGCGAGCCGATCACATGTTCCGGCTCCATGGGGCGAATTAATGTTAGATCCGGTGAGTGAAAACCAAATGGTCGAGCTTTGGCCCGATGTATTCGTCGCAATATTTATGTTTATAATTTTTTTTAGGAATCATCAATCATTGACTTTTATCCAGAGGATTTTCAGATAGATTTGAATGGGAAAAAATTTGCATGGCAAGGAGTTGCTCTACTACCATTCGTCGATGAACTGAGGCTAAAACAGGCCCTTGAATCTTGCTATGACCTGCTCACCGATGATGAAAGTAATTAATTTTAAACTGTCAATACCAATAGTGCAATATAATGTGTTAAATATTTTGAGTTAATTTTCATTAATTTAACGTACCATTCATTTTAGTAAAACGCAATGTTCGAGGTGATGATCGGTTGTACGTGTACAAAAACCATCAAGGATTTGAGTTTTTAAACGGGTTATATGAAAATGAGTTTGATCCAAAAACCGAAACCCCTCTTGACCCAAAACAATTTGACGGCGTTTCTGGAATGGTTCTGGTTTCCGAGGATAGGATTCCACAAAAAGGGTACATTTCTTATTTATTCTATGTGCAAATACATACCTTTAATATGGAGAATGCTGAATCATCAAGTGATGTTCTTAGGCAGTTGAGGTCCCCTATAAACGGTTTGCTAGACATAGATGAAAATTATGTTGTCTGGTAAGCTTGATAAATATTTCATGATATTCCATGTGAGGCACAAACAATTTTTATAGGCTATCTATTTATTGTATAAAGTGCGAGATACCGAGATCCAAAGTATGCAGAAGACTACATATTCCCAGCCAAGCGTTTGGACGGAGCCAGGTTAGGATTTTAAAATATTAAAAACAATTGGCTTTGCAATAGTTTTAATATTTGATTTACCCGTATTTTTCATTCAGGGATCCACCAAAAGTACTAAAGCCTGGTGACCTAACTCCTGATCAATCTCGGAACTGGAGACCTATGATTGGAATGACCCATTCTACACAACGAGCATCGTTGGGAATGGCGGGTCACAGAATGATGGCAAATGAAGGATATTCTCGTGACCGAAGGGGTGGAGGTCAAGGTCAATATAGCAACATGCCACCACCCAATGCTTCCGGGCCATATAGATCAGATCGATCCTTTCATCAAAATCGATATCAACCATACAACTATAATGACCGACGAGGAGGAGGAGGTGGAGGAGGCGGCCACTACAACCAACGAGGTAATAAAGACTGTTTACTATTTAGCTTATAATTTTTAAATTTCTAAGCAAGTTTTTACATTAAAGTTTTAAGTAAGTTCGCTTTGTCGATATTTTTACATTGTTGAACGATTACTCCTTTTCTTAGCAATCATGAGCACGTTGAACTGTAGGAGACAAATATTATCAGACAAATAGTTCAAAGCAATGTCAAAATATTTTCAGTTTTGACAGATTTCTTATTCTATTAAGTACCCATCCGTATCTATATAATATACCCTTTGCATTTCTGTCACAAACAACCCCAAGAAGACCCTCCTGGTGATACCCATTTGTTGTGGTCATGTCTCATGCCACACACACCTCACGAAAAGTAGTGTTATACATACAAACTATGAAACCCTATTTGACAAGTTTAAGTTGAGATTATGTAAATGTACTGTACATTGTATAGTTGCTGGCATTTTCTTAATTCTTTTGCTTTGGGTCCTATTTACATCAGAACATTATGACACTTGTCCCCAACTTAACACTTTTCATTGAACAATTAGCAAATCAAAACTTACCCATTGAATATCTTAAATGCAATACAGATTAGGACCGACCTACCACGTTGACATTGTTAAATACTAGTTGAACTTGAGAGATTTATAATTTTCTGTTTGCGTTAGGAATCAATATTTTACTTCAATTATATACTAAATAATTCTTCGCAAATAAGCATTCGATTGAGTGACAACTGTCAAAAGTTGAGATATAAACCAGGACCAGAAATGTGCTTGGTCTTCAATGAGATTAGCTGCGATTAGGTGAAAAGTCTTACGCGTGAGCTCACATATTCAAACAGAAGCACTTCAACGTCATCATGGCTCACATGGCTTCAAAAAAGCGTTACTGATCGTCTTTAAATGTACACACCAACTCTCAATAACGCTGGACAGTAAAATATCATAATCTCCTACCCAAAGCTTAAGTTAGATGTAAAATGGTCATTTGTTTTTCTAAAAGGGTTATCGAGCAAACGAGTATATGAAATTCTGTACATATGTACTAATATATGCACACGGATATAACATATAACATTCTAATTGTCTATATAACTACACTTCCTCTACATCCTCTCCATTTCCATTAAGTTTATCCACGGGTGCTGATAAAAATGCATCAATGTAAATTTCAGATGGAGGCTCATGGAACAATTTGGGAAGAGGTGGTCACATGCCTCGCGGAGGAGGAGGAGGAGGTGGTTACTCTAATTCCTATTCGAATAATCAAGGGTCGAATTACGGTCGTTACGATGGAAACTCTGGGTATGTGATTCTAAAAACATTTTATGTATGAACTGACAGTGCTAAATCATAGACAGACTAGAGTTGAAAGTATGTAATAGCATGCTTTTCTTTACTTTCTGTTTATATGTAACTAGCGTATAAGCCCGTCTCCCGCCGGGCGAGAGATGATTAGATTATCAAAATTTCACCAGTCAAATATTTTGTAGATATTTATTTTTTAAAAACAATTTGACGCGAACGGAAGTGAAAGCAATTTGCAACGCAAGTTAAAGTGGACAATTAAATGTCACCCACTTGGCTCTGTAATCTTTGCCAGCCAAGTCTGCCAGTGGCACTGCCATTGCCATTGGCAGCTTGTCTGGAACTTCTCTTGGCTCAGTCGTCTCTTCCAGCCCAGTCTGCCAGTGGCACTGCCATTGCCAATGGCCGGAAACGTGGCAGTGATCTAATCCCACACACAGGCTACCTGAAGCAGTACGATGGCAACGGCAATGGCAACGGAATCCAATAAGATAACCTCTCCAGATAACCACCAGAAGTGCCATCAATGTACAGAAACCCCACGATAACCACCTACAGGCCGCCACACCCCGATAACAACCTTCAGGCCGCCACACCCAGATAACAACCATCAGGCCGCTACACCCCGATAACCACCATCATGCAGCAAAATTCCGATAACCACCATCAGGCAACAACCCCCTGATAACCACCATCAGGCAGGAAAGCCCCGATAACCTCATATCATCAGGCAGCTTATAACTACGGTGGTTAAACCACCACCAGGCCGCAACATTCTGATAACCACCATCGACCAACAACGACCCGATAACCCCACTTGCTCACATTTATTTTTAAAATTAAAATTTTTGAATTTTCGCGCCATTTGAAGTTTAACTTTCCCTGATTTCACTTCCGTCACGGAAAATAACTTTCACTTCCGTTGCCAACAAACATTTCCAGCTTATAATATAGAGATATGTCTCATTTGCAATTAAGGACAAATCCTTTGAATAGTTCATTTTACAAGTCATTTGCAGACACGCAAAGAGTAATAAACTAGAATATATTAGTATTATTTATGAAGCCTTTAGAATTACTGCGAGATTTCGTGCTACAAAACCTTTCGTACAAGAGTTAGCAGTGGATAAAGTAGGGTCAAATCTTTCATAAGCTAAGAGCTTAGATTTTATGCAAACAAAGGGGCGCGTAAATTCTATTGTATCCACGAACGCTTCACACCAAAGAGAACTTATTTCGTTCGTTCATGATTTCACACAGAATCATTTAATGTTAGTCATTTACAATAGTGAACGAGGATTATTTTTTAATAGTCAGTAAAAAATGATGTGGAACTGTCATTAGTTTGTAATATATATTGGTGTGAAGATGTTTGTAAAACGGATATATTCATTTGGGTATTAGGTATTCTAGAGACAACGGTGGTAGAAGCTATCCGTCACAACAGGCTGGTGGCTACGGTGCACAACAAGGACGACCACCATCGTACTATAACCACAACGGAGGTTCAGCCTCAGCCAGTCAGAATAGGAGGGGGGATCGCTACGATCGTGGCAATGAACGAGGGCGGCGTTAAAAAGATACTTCTCTATGGATTGTAATACAAACTATTCTTGCGATAAAAGATACCAAAATATCACTACACTTTTCTTTTACTCACTTTTTGTGTCGTGCCAGTATTACATGAAGAATTTCACCTGTAAATGCTTGTTATGTAATGGATCGTCTGGTTTCTTAATGCTAAATGTGGTGAATCTATGCTCCAGAAAAAAAAATCATCCCGTCGTTTTCATAATTTGTATTTTCAACATCACAGTCTAATGCATAGGGGCATCTGTAAATTAAAATTTTTAACAAAAATTATCACGCCCTAAGTGCAGCAAAAATTTAAATCGTTTCTTTATAGTGTGACAAAATTTGTAATCAAATTTACGCAATTAAAAAACCCGTTAATAGTATATACAATTTGTGTGTTTGTCTCTGAATCATTTTCTCATTTGTGATTTCAGGCATTATATTTGCATAAATATAAGCATTCAAAATTATATTAAGGCTGCATATATAGTTTTCCATCTGAATAAAATCAATTCACCGCTTGGTACTCTGTATGTAGAAGTTGGGACGTTGTTAGGTTCCCGGCATCATAGCAGCAGTTTTCCATGAAGCCTGGTTCTTCCATGTCTCTTTGTATGAATTTCGGCCTAAAGTGCTCTCGAGTTGGCGTGGTGCAACTTTGCTGGAACGAATGACAAAATTAAATGAAGGAAGGGCCAACCTTTCCAGAATCAACATAAAATTTTATGCGATTACTCAAGTTCATGCTAATCTACATAGATACAGTTTTCCAACAATCTGTCATGGACTTGTGGCGAGGACATCACAGACTTCGGCTATACACTGCACACGAGAATATGCATGAGCATAGAACCAACCTGACTTGAATCTACTTCTTTATACGTAAATTAAATTAATTTGTGTTCAATCATCAACCTTGGAGTATTTGAGCGTAAATATTTTCCCATCCGCACCCTGTAAACTATGAAAACCTTGGAATTATGTGGCTGACCAAACAGATCTTATGTATTGTTAAATTTATGAAAGGATCATGCGGATAAATACCGCTTCCACCCATGGATTTATGTTATGAAAAATGTGAGTGCATGTCAAATTAAGGTTCGATAAATTTTCAAGAGGCAGAGTTTTTGTTGTTGTTGTCGGATGATGATGATGAGGCAGTTTACGATAAATTCATGATGGCAGGCAGGCCGTGTAAGCTGAAAGAGGTGGGCCAAGTGGGAAAGGGTGGTCCTCGCAAAGTGTTGAGTTTGTCTATTTTGAAATTCATCTCTGCAATTTAAATTAGCTGTGTGAAGCCACCGTTCAGCTCACTTTTGAAGGGGGCATTCCATCTCTGCATATGAATGTGCTTACTTAAAATATTTTATTCAAAACATCAAGCCGAATTTTTGTTTAGTTTGCCCCCGACTGAAAATTCATTTTAGAACATAAAGTTTTAAGCGACATGCATTAAATATATTAAATTAAATATACAGGTTTACGTTTTAAGGAAGGAAACGAATAAAGTTCATTTATAAATATGTACGATCAACGATAGATACGCAGTACAATCGAGACGAAAATATTCTGCAAAAGAGTCTTCTATAGTTCTCAAGTAGTATTTGTTACTTTCGCTGTCCCATCAATTAGATCTACAAAATTGGGCTATATTAATTTTTTCAGTGGGGTCGGACACTAAATACTTATTTATCCGTTGGTTTGAAAATATCTTAATTTACCCATCATGAATTACGCTACGTTACATATCGAATTACCAGCCACCTTAGAAACTTGACCATTGTTTACAATTTGATAATGCTACAAGATAAGCAAGTAACGTTTCCAGCTTTTTTGCCGACGACGAGTACAAGAGGAAGGTTGTAATTCAGTGATGATAAGGAACGATCGTTGGTTGAAGCATCGGAGAGTAGGCAGCCGTGGATGATGGGAGAGAGAGAAGGGGAAAGTTTCAAGTGGATCGTCGTTCGCGTCCTTCGAACAGCTTTGCTTTCAGAAACTCTGCTATTCTGTCGAAACGGAGAGAGAGGAGGAATTGCAATTGGTGGGTTGGTTGGATGGTGTTGGTGGTGTGTAAGTTCACTCCACTCAAAACTTTATTTCTGCAGTTAGTTAGTTAGTGGGTCCGTGAACAAATAGGGAAAAGCAGGCTTTATTAAACCATCGCACCGCAAGTTCATCCCGACCAACTTGACTTGGTTTTGTCGGGTAGGCAGGCTTTCCCTTATAATAAGAGATGATGATGAAGAAGAGACGGTCATGCAAGACCAGGAGCTCGCCGAGTTGGTTAGTTTTTGGAGAGAGAAGGAAAGAGAGGGGAATTGAAGAAGAAGTTCATGCGTTAGTGGCCGATTGCCCGTCGTCGCTCGATTTATTGGCTTCGTGCTGAAGTGGTCGTTTGATCATCAAGGCATTGAAAAATCGAGAACCGAATCTGACTTTAAACGTATGACATGCATTACCTTCGTATACACACGCTATCTGCAAAATAATTAGTGGCATCTCATAAAAACTTTGATAGTATAATGGTCTTTTACATAAAATCAAGATGTTCACCATGCACCAATTTCTATCAAAGCGTTCTTATTACCCTTTTGGCTCTTCCAATTCAATAATTTCCAGGTTCAGATTTACGTTGTCATTGAGGCTGAGCGAGTTTCAATACCATTTCATGAACTATGAATGTATCGTAGTGGAGTCTTGTTCGTTTTTCCTTTCTTCTTCCCATTATCTCCCTTTTCTTTGGCTTTATTTCGTTTCATTTCCTCTTTCTTTTATCTTTGAGAAGGACCAACTTCAAGAGTTAAGACTTTGAGTTCTGCCTGAAACTTTGAGCTCATTGAGAAACTGTAACTTTTATTCTGAAAATCGAGATACAAGAAGAACGATGGGAACCGTGGTGCTACACCTACGCACAGCAGCAGCAGACCGTATAAATATATATACTTACTTGTATATAAATCCCCTCCTACTCGTGTTGAAATAAGGCATCTGAATTGTAAAACAGTTTCTAGGAGAATTCCTCCTGATTCTTGAGCAAATACGGGGATGAGTGGGATGGAGGAAGGATCACAAGTGGCTTCGTCACCGGTTTCTGAGTTCTCGGCGATTTCAATTCTTTTTACTTGGTTTCGTCTCGTGAGTTTGTTCTCCTCTTTATTCCTTGTCCTGCTGCTTTGTAGCTAAGCAAGAGCTAGCCACTTGAGTTTTTCATATCATTTGGGCCTCTGCTATTCTCATCCTTGGCAGCCGATCCCAGCACAAAAGTTTCTAGGAAGTTACGAGGAGAAAAGGATGAACTATTAGTGCATTAAAAACGAGAGGCGATGATGAGGGTATTGTGCTCAGCTAAACCGTTCAACACTTTTTTATGCATCGTATTTCATTGTGCTCACACAAAAGGATTGTGCAACACTTTCATGCTGATTATCGTTAGGTCGAAAGTGATGCGGTTAATGTGCATCACTGTACGTACCTAAATATATAATGTATAAATGCATAAGCTTCATAACACCCCTGGTATAAAAATAATTACGTAGTACAATCATTGCCAACTATTTGCCTTATGAAATTCTTTCCTAGTAATGTTGGCAATCAGCAAATTATGTTATGACGTGTCCCATCGAATAAATAATCATGGCGCACAGGGATCCTATTATTAACAATACTTAACTTGATATGCATACTTATGTGCATATGCCAATGCTATCCACTCTCTTTCATTGTTAAAATAGGTTAAGGGAATCGTTTTTACAGATCATCCAGCACAAGTTCTTCTTTCATGCGAATAAAGACAAATGTGGAGTTTGGTAATGCGAAGCACAGGTACTTGACAGGAAACCCTGCAGGCTGATTGTACGGACCACTTGAGTGACTCTGGCCGAAAACTCAAGTAGTTTCTCTTTCCAGAAAATCCAATGCGAATTTCCAGATCAAGGAATTCTCGACAGCTCCGAGTCATTGTTAAAATTTGGAATTCACTCTGGAATAAAATTTTATTTCATTTTCTGAATCCAGAATTTTATTGCATATGATGACAAAATGTAAATAGGTACGAACCCAATTTGATGTACTCTCCATCCATGCAAGAATATTTATTAATATATATTTTCCACTTGAAACTCTTCACTTCAAACTTGGTCGTGTCCAACACAATTGTTGAATGTAATTTTAATTCCTATGAATCGGACTGAGATTTGGAAGGGAGCAAGATTTTCCCAGGACATTGGGGGTGACCCAGGGCAGAAGAGAAGGTGAAACGAGGAGAGCGCATACAATTTAACCAGTCAAGCAAACACGTAAAATATTATCAGAGTTAAATCTGTATTTGGAATCAAGTACCGTACAGGAAAAGGAATACGGTACGAACAAGAATGGAATATATGTGGGTCCAGTGGAGACTTTATGCTGATCTGATTTTGATTGAGTGATTAGAATTCTGTTTTGTGCTGAGATGGAGAGCGTGTGGTACTGTGGTTTGGTGCCTTTGTTGATTATTGTCATGTAAAAAATATATTTCAGATTCTCTCACAAACGATAATGCAGAATAATGCATAATCACATTCAAATTTTAAGGTTTCTCTCTCGAGTCCTTTCACATGGCACGGACCATCAAGATTATAATGGGACAATAATACATCGACAATGAGCAACTTCTTTTCTTATGCATAACATCTAGATACAATATATTTACATTGTAAATTTTAGAATAAAGGGCAACTGTACGTCTTGGACAAGTAAGAAGTTGTACATATTAGCGATATCGTTGGGTTACTCGCTTTGGAATAAATATAAGGAAGATATTGTTTCTAAAATGTCAGTGCTTTCGATAATCATGGCATGTTGACCACTGTAAATATTTAAATTAATTACGCTTAAATATTTATGTTATTTGTAAAATGTTACTCAAGTGGTTTTCCCCCTACTATGTGCTTCAGGCTGAAGTTGCTCAATTAATACCATAACGTTTAATGCCAAGTGTCCAAATTTCAGCCATCAACTATGATATCAGGTGTTAAAAGAGAGGTTACACTAGAGACGCACCAAGGACTTGTAAGATCCTCTTAAATATTTAAAGTACTATCAACATCAACTCTGAAATCCACACGAATCCTTCAATCCAATCTCTCCAGTGCAGTGGCTACAAGTTGAAACTTCATCTTGAAACTCACAAGTAGATTTGGCATTTGAGCACCTAATAATGCGTGGAATGTATCTTTTCTCAATGAGAATCAAGAGACACTACATGCATAGTCACCACACCACTCCGCACAGTTTACTCCTTTACAATCTCACATTTGGTGCATTTTGTTCATAAATAAAACTAAATGTTTATTATCCTTCACTCAAGCGACTGCAAGCAATCCGACATGGCGCCGAGGGGGTTGAACACGATGCAAACTGGTGCAAACTGCATAAATGTTGTGAATAAAGCGGAACAACAGGAAGGAGGAGAAATCAGCGGAATGCAAATGACGATACACTGCAAAAGATGAGAAGCATGATCAATATAATCACGAATCATGATATAGTCCTTTAGTCGAAGAAGTCGTAAAAATGGACAGCACATTGAGATTTCGAGTTAGAATGTGCAGTTGAGAAATGTATATCAACAACTTTACAAGTACAAAAGTTGTACATCATTGAAAATTTCCCCAACTAATAACGATAAACTCTCTCGACCGGCTGTTACTGCTGTGTATAATTTATAAGTATATGAAATTACTTATAATTTAGGAGCATGTGTATATGTGCAGATAATTTGAAACTCTAATAAACAATTGTGTTAGGACTGGTAAATAGATTTGCGGTTGGCTAATTTTTTCAAGGGTTAAACGATATAAAACTGTAAAATCATCCTGGTTAATTTAATCATACAGCGTGTTGCATTGTTGTCGTACTTCATAATTCAGGGTGGAAACTGAACAAGTCGTCTCCAACTCAAGTTCAATCTTTTCTCAATGCTCAAGGATATCACAGACTTGACTTGACTCTCAAGTGAGTGTTGATTTTGAGATGATACCATGGAGCATTACTGTTGGTTCGCGGAGTGAAATCTAGTAAAATGGTTATCATCACTTTTAGTAGTAAAAGATAATTGCAATCCACAAGCTCAACCAACAAATGCTCGAGTAGCCTCTTCCCAAGTGCTCATCGAGGTCAGAAGAAGAGATCCTTCTGCTGACTCGATGGCTTTTCTGCGCTCTTGTTCTCCACTGCACAACCACCACCACGCGTACCACTTCTCATCCCATCATCATCTTGATCGAAATCTGTCATAAACATTCACTCACTTCATATATACGCATTAACATCATCCACGACTTTCACCGTCCCCAAGCCCCCTTTATTTATTCCTTCCTCATTGAAGAAATATTCCAAGTGTCCACACATTATCATACGTCGTCGAAAAATATTTTACGCTTTGCCCGATTACTGGTTAGCTAGATTACATAATATTGGGTTGCACTTATGCGGCCAATATAAAGTGGAGCATTGAGTATGCGACGAGCATCGTTCAGAATGCCCAGGACGACTCCGGTGCTTCCAGGTTCCAATATATCCGATCTCGAAAGACAATCATTGGATTGTGCTGTGCAAATACGGCAACATTTATGATTTTGCCGAGATGACGGGAAAATGGATGGACGAGGACGGAGACGAGGACGGGACGGCAGCGAGTGTGAAGCAGTCGGCGGAAGGAAGTCGACTTGACTATTGATCTCAAGACTTCCAGATGACTCCTTCACTCGAGTCGAGCAAGGATGGAAGAGACCCTTCGATTTAGAGGATCGATGATAATGTCGATCTTAAAAGTGGAAGAACAACTAGACGATGACTCTTAGGTTGCCCACCAAGATGACACTTATGTAGGGAAAGACCTGCTAAGAGAGAGTCTCATATCACACACAAGTAGCATTATTCACTAGAGTTGAGTGTCATCTGCAAGTAGTCAGTAAAGGATACCCGAATCAAGAACATATATTTCGTTTGATTCAACATCATTTCATTGCGCATATTATCGCTGGAGAGGAGGACGACTTGATTTTAAACTTGGTATAAATATCTAGTTTTATGAGAGGAATTTAATTTTTTTATTTCATGATGGCTTCCATTTTATCAAAGACGAAAACGATTATTTATTTATTAGCAGACTTTGAATATAGAATATTGTATGTTGAGAATATTGATGGTGAATCCATTGGTGGGCAGATTCAGTGGATTGGAATTGACATGTACCTACAACAACATTATTATTTGTTATGAATAAGGTTGGACCGAATAGGGGCGAATTCGGGCAAGTAAATAGAGATGCGTCTGTCAGTGCAAAGTTGCCCGGTTCGAAATTTGACAAAAGCACAAAGTATATTGGCAGTTGGAAGAGTTCTTCAAATTGAATACATCCAGCACTCAAGTGTTTTCTCTTCGTCTTACCTTTCCTCGCGTTTCATTCGTGAGCATGGGTGGAGGAGCCAGCCTCGTCAAACGTTGGCCTCGCATTGAGACATGTCAGCGATGGCATTCTCCGAATTATCTGCCTCGCCCGAAAATGTCGAACCCCTCTTCAAATACGGATTCGTCATTCTTTACTTTCCATCGATGACATATTGAATTTGCTCTGACAAGACCACTGAAAAAATAACACTGGAAAATTGAAGGTGGCACAAATTCAATGTGTACACATATACGTACGTATGTACCTATTTGTACATACATATATTGGAACATATTATTTACGTATATCCAAGGATCCACTAAGCGCAAGAAGGAGGAATTGCAAGAATAATAATAAAATCGACTTTATCCATACTTACGTATGTACGATGCGTACGTATTCATGGGCGACGACAGTGGAAGAAGAATTTGTTTTCAATTTTGAATACTACCTTTTGTGGGAAAAGAGCTTTATAATTTACCACTTGTGCCTCCAGTCTCATAATTCAGCAATTCAGGAGCATAGCAGGCAGCATGGTGACAATAATATCCTTTCTCAACTCAAGTACATATATTTTGAATTTTCACCAAAGAAGGCGAGAAATACAATCAATCTTTTAGACCGCATTTTAAATTCACTCGATAATGTTGAGTGGAGGACTTGACAATTTAATATTCCATCGAGTGTAAATCGCTAGCTGGTGGGTACGCCTCGTTTTGCTTGTTGCATATACCAAAAGTTGTTACTACTTGTACTGCAATTCGAGACAAGACGTCTTACTAGGAATAATAATAATAATACCACTACCGCTTTTGCTACCTTTCACAAACTTCAACCGTGAACCAGGCCTGTGAAGAGTGTGACATGTTGCTTTTTGATGGAGTGGTCCTCCACTTGTCAGCAATAGTCACGTTTGTCTGCAAATAAGGTTTTGTCGTGCATGCATCCAATTAAATTATTTTTAGTTGGACGATGAGCTTCCAGGTTTGAAAACATGCCAAAATAAAAAAAAATATTCGGCAGTTTGGCTTCTATTTGGACTGGCTTAATGCATTATTTGTTATGAACTGCAAATATGTGTCTGTACTATATAGCGTATATAACGATATAGATACATATGCACAATAATGTAAGGAACATTTTTTTGGTGGCAATATTTGATTTACTAAGGACACGTTATTTTTATGGTATCATAAAATTTGTTAGGAAGCTGATAAAAAGACACTTTTATCAACTTACCCCAAGAATTGTCCAATCTATTTTTAAGACTGCTTTTGTGATTACTGTTATCCGCTTTGGAGCCCATGACAACGCGTCTATTTATGCTCGTATATAACAAACAACACTAATCCTGGGAAGGTTTCAAGGAGGAGAGCTTTAGACCATTTATATCAGTTACCACTGCGCATTTTTGATCTGTATGCATACTCGACTTTCTCCGGTTTCACTGTCGCTGTACATGACTCCGACCTTTTACTTGCCCAGCTAAGCTCAGGGTTCACATGGAATCTAATATCTGATTCCTCTCTCAGAGAAATCCCACTCTTGAACATCAAATAAAATCTGCGTACCTAATACGACAGGAATTCTCATCTCGTTAAATAAATCGCTGGCTGCTCGCATTATTACCTTCTCTCAAAATTACTATTTAGGGAGCTCTTCGCAACGTACATGTGGCGAATTCCATCCAGGTAGAGCGGATTTTATTACTTCCGTTGGAGGGAGATGAAATGAGAGTTGGTGGCAGCATTCGATGTAAGTTAAGTGGAACGGAGGCTGCTGCTGGGGTGAGGTTCCTGGCTTTCGAATTAATTTGAGACCCTTACGAGTCTGTACGGCTGTACATGCATATAAGCCATTGGGCTACGTATATGATGGGTGGCGTAAGTACTTTGCTGAATAAACCGTGGAAATAAACGAGATGATGAGCCCACCCGAGTAAACTGGTCGGTTGGTTGGTGGGGATTCAATATTTGAGATCCACACATCTCAAACTCATGGATCACATCAAACACGATCAACTTTTGACATGGTCCAATATCAAAGTTTC